ATTCAATCATATCCTGATTCTAGGGGAATTCAATCTTCCTAAAGTCAATTTCGCGGAACACACGTATACTGGAGGTGAAAACTCAACTAAAGCTCGGTTCTTCAACCTCACTGAGGATCTGGGATTATACGAAAATGTGAAGTCGGCGACTGGTTGGAGAAACAGTCAGACGTTGTCGCGCTTGAACTGGGTAGTTACAAACGAAGAATTTCTGGTTGACAACCTCTCAGTCCTGGCTTCCGTAGGAAAAAGCGAACACGCCGTTGTAGCTATCAGTTTTATCAGCGAAAGTGAGCTAAGATATCCCACCAGCAACATGCGCTGGAATTTCAAACGGTTGAGTGTGTCAGCTCTACAAGACTATCTACAACAGGTGGATTGAGATGTTCACCATCAACTTGATGTGGGTGCTCATTAGGATTTCTTACTGCACACGCTCTGACGTGTCCCTCAAACAGTTCCCAATAGCTACAAGCAACCTACACTCATCAAGAACCGCAGTCTTTCTTTGCTAGGCCACAAAAGGCATTGTTGGGCAGAATACGAACGAACTGGCGACAACGGTGCGTACAGGCAATATAAACATACGTGGAACATATTCACGAAGGCCATAAGAGAAGACAGGCTTCAGTACCAGATAAAGCTTGTGGATACATTTGTCTCTAATCCGAAAAGCTTATTTCGTCATGCGGCCTCTCTTCGACAAGCCAAAACTGGAGATTCCTAACTGCTAGGTCTTAATGGCCCGATCAATAACGATTGTGACGCCGCTAACCTTTTGGCTGAAAAATACTCTCGGACACTTGAACCGACCCACATCAATTATATTGATGACAGCTTCATCTGTAACTGCACAGGACTTTCCGAAGTGAACCTGAGCGCTAACTTGGTGTTCCGGAAACTGTAGCACCTAAGAAGAGACGCTTCTCCTGGCCCAGATGCGGTTCATTTTGCTATACTGAGAGAAGCAGCTTCAATCCTGGTAACACCGCTTAGCGTGGTATTCTCACACTCACTAAGCCGAAGCAAACTACCGGAAATTTTGAAGCTGGCTCACACCACACCAATTTTTAAAGGAGATTGACACAGAGAACCTTCAAGTTACCGACCGGTGACTCTTCTCTCTATACCTACAAAAATTATGGAGTTCCTGATATGCTATGGTATTAGTGACTATTGGCTGTCCTTAAATTTCTTCTCCCCCCAACAGCATGGTTTCAGGAAGGGTTACTCTTGTATAACCAACCTGCTGACTGCGGTGGACAGATGGACAGGCCTCCTTGATCGCAAGAGGAAAATTCATATCATCTGCCTTGGTTTCTCAAAATCTTTTCATAGGGTAAACCAAAATATCTTATCAGTAAGCTCAAACGACTGGATATCAAATCAACTCTAATTGACTGGCTCACTTGATGTCTAAAAAATCGATATTTTAAGGCCAGGCTGTGGAATGACCTAGTGGGGATCCCCCAGAGCTCAGTACTAGGACCTCCTCTCTTCTTGGTTTGTACAGATGGTCTTCCACAACAGGTAACGTTAGGCTTATTACTTTTTGCTGATGACGTGAAACTTTGGAGAGCGATGCGCAACCGTGAGGATATACAGGCACTTCAGGAGGATCTGACTCGACTTCAAAGTTGGGCAGACGATAATAGACCTACCTTTAACACTTAAAAGTGTAAAGTAGTCCACCTGCGAAGTGTCGCAGACTACAGTTACAACTTAGAAAGCTCCTCTTCAGTTGTATCCCGAGTTGAAAAAGATTTAGGAGTCCTGGTGTTACACGAACTAAAGTCTTACGCTGACTGTGACAAAAATGTCTTTCGAGCAAACCTTGCACTGGCAACACTGAAATGCAATTTTGGCCAGTTTGACGGTAGATCTTTCCATATAATCTTCAACAGTTTTATCCATCCCTATTTAGAGTACGGAAACAGTATTTCCTCCCTCACTCCAAAAGGATAAAGACACTCTTGAACGTATCCAACGGTGACTCAAATTCAATCCTTATGAAGAGCGCCTTCAATCAATTAACCTATACCCATTAGATTATAGGCGTCTTAGAGGTGACCTAATGGCTTACCGTATCCTTAACACTTCTGGACATCCCATTAAACACCTACTTAGGCTTAGTCCCAATACAAACCTAAGGGGTAACACCCATAAATTGGAGACACAACGCAGCAGAACGGACTGTAGACACAACTTCTACTCCTTAAGAGTTGTCAAATACTGGGATTCTCTGTCTACTGAACTAGTCCAAGCGACTTTCTAGGAGTCTTTTAAGAGGAAATTTGACTGGCTGAGGATAACATCTTGTTGTGATTTACAAATTTCTTTTATTTTTTTTCTGTATTATTGTTAATATACCTAGGTTCCTGCCCGAGTGTGTTTGTGATCCACTGCTACTAGACACGGAAGCCCGTTAAGAGGAAACTTCTTCTATTCCGTCCCCAACCATTTGAAGCGTTACGCCGAACCCTAACACCAGTTCTGATACTCAGAGGCAATGACGGCAAGTTATATAATATCAGCAGGGAAAACCTGTTCACTGTCGTTGGGATACCCATGGAACAGTTGACTACAGTCTTAAATATTTCCCGTTGGGGCATCGTGGATTCTGTCTTCCCATACCCTTTCGTCAGAGATGGAGAGTTTCTTTCTCTCTGTCAGATGAATTCAAGTTCATTCAAGTCTTATTAAGGAGTACTTTTAGGACAATTGGAATCCGTGTTTTGTTCCAAGGTTTCTGATCTGGATTTACAGGGTGGTCCGCCGTTTGTGGAATGATATCATATTTGTTGTTCATTAGCTTTAAACTATTTACCGTGTTACAAACGTTGTGGAATACAACACGGCTCAAGATTCTACGTTTGCATTTTTTAATGGCTTCCAAACGAGGTTAAGGATTATATCAAAACAATCACAAAAACCATACTTCCACATACTTATTTTTAGAGACCATTGGGAATACGTCAAAAAATTTATCGCGTTCCTTTGAATAACTTAGTGTTAATTTTGAGAGAAGTGGACAACTTCAGACTCGGATTTGTGTAGTAAGAACAGAAGGTCTACAGTCTATACTATTCCATTTCTAGCATGCTTCTGTAAGTGCATAGTACTTTCTTAAATGGCTTAATTGAAGGTGTGGACATCACCGCTTCATGAAACAAGTTTCAATAATTGACGACTCGTCGTGAAAACCTGTATTCGACGGGTATCTTATTCGTTCAGGTACAGGCACTTCCTCTATGTTGTACCTATTTTCAATCGTATCCCCAAAGTGCATGTAGATGTACTTTGTCATGTTGATAGACATCAGTCACTCTTTAGACCGGCTAATCAGAACACGTAAATTTATCTGAAGTGTGAATGCACTCGCGTCTCATGTTGTTTCTCGTCAGATTTTTACATCATCAGCATATAGTAACATTGAGGACTCAACTATTCCTGGGATTTCATTTACATACTGTATAAAAAGATAGGGACCTAGGACAGAACCACGCGGCACTCCACTAAGTACTGGTCTACAGGTGGAGCACTTGGAATTCGCTCTTACTTTCTGTCTACGACCCATCAGGAAATCCTTAAATCATTTTAGGAGAGATCCGGAAATGCCTGGATTTTCCAGCTTCAAAAGCAGCCCATTTGTTGACACTTTATCAAATGTTTTGCCGAAGCCTATGTAGACAACATCCACTGAGTTTCCATTGTCTAGAGTCTCTATCCATTGCTCCCTTGCAATATGGAGATTTGTTGTGCAAGACAAACGTTTTCTGAAATGGTGATGTTCACTGTTTAACAAATTGCTGGTTTCCACAAATGTTATTATGGTTTTCTTGACTATTCTTTCCAGTATTTTAACTGCGACACTGCTGAGGCTGACAGGTTTGTAATTCGATGGAAGTCGTCTTGATCCTGTTTTACGTATGAGAGTGACGATTGCATCCTTTCAGTTCGTAGACAACACACCTTGGTCAAGTAGCATATTGAATATCATAGTGGGGCTGCAATATGTTGTGCAATTTGTCTCAGGATTTTAGGGTGTGATTCATCCAGTCTTGCTGACCTTTCCGTGCCTAAGGTGCTAAGAGCCTTGAGTACATCGTCTCGATCAGAGTCCACGGTGAGCAGACGATTTGTTGACATCGTATTTAAGTCTTGTTCTTCGTCTATAAGCAGCACTTGAGTAAAAACTGCACCAGAATAGTTTGCCACGGCCTCTGCTTTTTCCTGATTACCCTCTGTAACTTCTGATTCACTCACTTCTGAAATTAGGTTGGATATCCGATGCTGCTTTCTTGTTCTGTAAATTGTGTACAAGTATAGTCTCATAGGCTGCTTGATTACAAACTGGGCTGAATGTACTTTTTTGCTGCTTTCTGAATTGTAATCATACACTTATTTCTTACCGACCTGTGGCGTTCCATTGTACGTGTTTTGCCACGGCTGGTAGTAACGTTCTAACATTTGTTTTGTCTTGGAAATCGTTGAATATCCCCATCCAGGAATGGCCGTTACTCTTCTTCTTTGCGACTGTCCAGGGTATAAATGGTTGAGCCACCTGATTGTATAACTGCCAGAAATGAGTCCATGCCTCTTCTACTGATGCCCCTGAGTCAATTATCCAATCTCCAGTCTATTCTGCAGAGTTGATTGCCTTCGTATCTGCCTTCCATATGTTGGGACGGGTTGACGTAACTGTTTGACAGACCATCTCAGCCACGAACTTTGGTTTAACGACTGCATGATCACCTATCCCCAGAGATGAGAGGAAAGTTATTTGACTGACATCATTACCATGTGTGAAGATTAGATTCAAGAGAGACGAGGAGCTTCGTAAGTCATATCTGATGGAATCTTTAATGGGCGGGAATAAATTTAGTGGCAATTTTAGGAAATATTCAGGTACTAGTCTTCAGACTCTCTCCTCTCAGTGGCAAGAAGAAAACCCACAATTGAACGCTTTGTCGCTTAATTCGCACTGCTGTTTTTAAGAAACTCCTACAAAGTTCGCCCTAATCTCTCCTATATTGGTTGCTTGGTGGTTGTTGCGTATTGAAATGAATTACAAACTGTCGGGTGCCTATGATAATTAGGGGTATCTGAATCATAGTACAAACTAGGAATCACAGAAATAACGCCATTGAATAATGAAGTACTAGATAAGCACAAACGAATGTACTATATTTGGAATTCAAAACCAAGCATTCAACAAGTACAAAGGAATCGTCAGTTCATACAAACACCACAGTGCCTCAAGAAGTAACTGTTCCTGTCATTTGACAGGACAATATATATGCCAAATCAACATTCGTCTGCTATACATGGCTCCAAATGTAAAAAGTTCACGGTCACTTTTGGTAGTGTGGTCGGATCGTTCTTATCGTGAAAGTGGGATAATGAACCATGGAAAATAATGTAAGAATAAATGTGTCGTATCAATTGTATGTATAGTTTTGTATTTTAATGAAACACTGTTATGAGTACTTGTTATAACTGCGGACTCAAAGTCACTTATTTCTGAATAGCTGAACAATTAGTGATATAGCTTGATCTTAGAAGGCAAGACTATGGATAAGGTTTTGTTAGCACTACGAAATAACTACGCAGCTTATACAAGTACTGGTCTGCCACTGATTCAAAAACTATCAAAATTATAGTGTTATGCAGGGTTCATTTAACAGCTGTCGTCGAATTTAAAAATTTGAACCATAGCAGATGACATTCACCAATCGATGATTTGGTGTATGCATAAATTCTACAATACCATTAGAATCTTTGCTTTAATTGAAAAATATGGTAAACTAGTGAGTTACGTTTCTGCTTCTTCCTGATCATATTGTGATGTATTTCGGCTAGACAAGCGTACCAAAGTGCTTATGCCAACGTGGATTTTAGGTTCACAGCCTCTATGATTAAAAATCCTGTACAAGAAAAATGTATGCACGATAATTTTGTCACTAGTGTCCTAGTCTGAAAACTAGTTATTGTGTGATGACTTGTTTGGAATTACGGTAATAGATAAATTAAATATTGTTCAGTTTTAACATCTCATGGCGGGTAGATCTCCTCAAATGCCCTGGTATAGCCGAGAGCAGGGTGGGCTCGCCCTCCCTCTCGAAATACTCTCACGCGGCCACGCGTATACAGCCTCTGCCAGGGAAGTCCTACTCACTGCCTTCTCGTGACGAGGGTGTTGTTTACGAAAATGAGAGGACGAAAAGCGAATGGCACTTTAACCGGATCCCAAACCAATGGTGCACATGGGTTCCATTATCCTGTGGGAACAAACGGCGTGTGGACCAATTTCTTGGTCACCGGCTACCATGGGACTGCATCTCCTCACGATGCTTCACTGCCTTGTGGATCAGACCTTTAGATCAAAGGCTCGGGGTGTGGTCCCCTTAGAAAACCACCTGCTTCGGTTTGGGCACCCGAGCAGTATCACAGCCCACACACAAAAAATTAACTGTCTATTTATGGAAAATATTCTTCTTGCTCTGAATAACAATAAAATGACTCACATTATTATTATTATTATTTACTACGCCATTTATTCACCCTCTTTTATTCCCACTCTGTGTATACTTATTTTTCGACTTATACAGCAGCTCGCCTGTGGTGGAAATTCGGCTCTATCTAAACGTTCTCGAGTTACTGCCTGATTGAAAATTGTATGCTACCACCAAATACAAATACTCAAACAGTTTTTCTGAAACCACGTGCGCCATTCAAACTGGCTGCCTTCAACGTTCGCACACTTATGTAGATCGGACAACAGATAGGGCTGGCCATGTCTTTGGAAAGTCTTAATGTTGATGTTTGTTGTCTATCCGAGACCCGTATTCAAGACTCTGGCGAAGTACTACAAATTCGCTCTCCATCTGTCGCTTCAAAAAGCCTGTTTTACGTGCGTTTATCTGAGGACCCTGTGGCATCTTCGTCTGGTCTTGCTGGCGTTGGTGTCGCACTAAGCCCTAGAGCTGAGGCAGCACTAATCGATTCGATCCCCATTAACAGTCGGTTATGTGCTGTCAGATTAGAAAGTTCCATCAAAGTGAGAAGAAATCGGCGTGAGAAACGATGTCTTTTCGTCATCTCCGCCTATGCTCCGACACATTGCAGCCCGGATGCAATCAAGGATGAATTCTACCACCAATTATCTGTTCTCCAGAAAGTGCGTTCGACAGAAATTGTAGTACTAGCCGGAGACTTGAATGCTCAGGTCGGGCGTCTAGGCACAGAAGAGAATCGTTTAGGTGGCCGATGGGGACTTGTTGGTCGCAGGACAGATAACGGGGACCGTCTAGTGCAACTGTGTACAGACCACAACCTGTTTCTGGCTAGCACTAATTTTCGGCACAGTCATCGCCGATGTGCCACCTGGCATCCTCCCTCTGCATCTCAAGCCTGGACTCAGATTGATCACATCGCGATCAGCTACCGCTGGCGTGGTTGTGTACAAGACTACCGCTCATTTTGGAGTACCTATCTGGACTCTGACCATGCCCTGGTCTGCGCCAATCTTACTTTACTTTTCAGTGGCCAACGAAGTGACCGCCACCGACGGATTGATGTTAGCAAGCTGGTTGCAACTTCTGTTGCTAGTAAGTATCGAACCGAGCTAGCCTCTAGGCTAGCTACCACTCCACCGAAAAGTATAGATGAGCATTGGTTGCAATTGCATGACGCCATGAAAATGGCGGGTACAGCCAGTTGTGGGTTCGCGAAACGTCCCTCTTATAAGCACTGGGTTTCTGCAGGTTCCTTACAACTCATTGAAGCCCGTCGGTCTACTCCGGGTGACCGTGAGTTTGACCATAAACGAAGGATGTTACGTAAGGAAATTGGGCAAAGCTTGCGTAAGTACTGAGAAGCCTGGTGGTCGGAGCGTGCTAATGAACTGGAAGCAGCAGCTGCATCTGGTAACTACCGGAAGCTCTTCCAACTCATCCGAGCCACTGGCAGCAAGAAGTCTGGTGTGAGCGAAACAATCTGCGAAGATGATGGGATGCCAATTACTAACATCCATCGACGTCTTTGACGATGGGCAGAATTCTTCGAAGGGCAGTTCAACTGGCCTGCTGCTCCGGCAACATCGGTCAGACTGTCCTACCCTCTGCGGCCGGTGACGACTGATCCACCATATGAGGCGGAAGTCCGCAAGGAACTCCAACTCTTGAAGCGTTACAAATCGCCTGGCCCAAATGACTTACCTCTGGCTCTTTTTAAAGATGGTGGTGACTTTCTGACTAAGGAACTGACGACGTTGTTTACAAAGGTCTGGGAACTAGAGAGTGTACCAACATCATGGAATGAGTCGCTAGTTGTCCCTATCTTTAAAAAGGGTTCACGTCGTTCCTGTAACAACTATCGGGGGATAAGTCTACTTCCGATTGCGTCCAACCTATTGGCTTCCGTCATACTTCGTAGGTTGTTCAAAACCCGAGAAAGATTGACTCGCGAGGAGCAGGCTGGTTTTCGTTCTGGTCGAGGATGTGTTGATCATATCTTCACCCTCCGCCAAATGTTAGAACATCGCCATTCTTATCAAAGGCCAACAATCGTAGTGTTTCTTGACATCAGGGCTGCCTTCGATTCGTTGGACAGGACTGTTCTCTGGGATTATCCATTGAAGAAGGGTGTGCCTGAGAAGTTTATTAACATCCTAAAGGCCCTATATACAAACACCTCGGGCAGAGTGAGCGCATATAACCACCTCTCTCCATTGTTCCATTCAAGCAGTGGGGTTAGGCAGGGTTGCCCAATCTCACCATTCCTCTTCAACTTTGTCATCGATGACATTCTGGAAACAGCTCTGATGAATGTAAGTAATGGTGGTGTGGATCTGTTGCCTGGAGAAAGACTTCTCGATCTTGAGTATGCGGACGATATTGTCTTACTGTGCGATAATGCCCAAGGCATGCAATCCGCACTTAATCAGTTGGCAATCAGTGTTTGTAGGTATGGTATGTGCTTTTCACCTTCGAAGTGCAAAGTACTTCTACAAGACTGGCAGGATTCCAATCCTGTACTCACCCTGGATGGTGAGCAGATAGAAATAGTCGAGAAGTTCGTGTATCTGGGTAGCTGCATAAGTGCTGGTGGTGGTGTGAGTGATGAGATCAATGCACGTATAGTGAAAGCCAGAGCGGCTTATGCCAATCTGGGCCACCTTTGGCGCCTTCATGATGTTAGTCTGGCTGTAAAAGGTCGGATCTACAACGCGTCGGTGAGAGCAGTCTTGCTCTATGCTTGTGAAACCTGGCCTCTCCGAGTTGATGACGTTAGACGACTTTCTGTGTTCGATCATCGTTGTCTCCGAAGGATTGCTGACATCCAGTGGCAACACCATGTTAGTAATGCAGAGGTTCGGCATCGTGTGTTCGGGCGCAGAAACGATAATGCAATTGGTGTCACCACCTTGAAACACCGACTTCGGTGGCTTGAACATGTTCTACGAATGTCGTCCCAGAGAATTCCACGTCGTGCATTATTTGCCGACTCTGGGACTGGTTGGAAGAAGCGGAGAGGTGGTCAGTGCATGACATGGTGTCGTGGTATGAAAGAAAGCTGCAAAGGACTGGCTTGTGTTGGTCCTTCAGGACTCCCTGGTTGGGGTCCGAGAGATGGTGCAACACAGTGGCTAGAGACGTTATCAGATATGGCTCAGAATAGAAGCCAGTGGCGATCCTGCTGTAACCTTCTTTTACTTTCTTCATAAAACGTGGTTGGATCTTCCTTAACTGAAAGATTTCTTCTGATTGTACCTTTTCGTTTCCCCCATTATTATTACGCTACCTTACCTTATTCTGTTCGTTATTGCTCTTTTTTTAAACACTCCTCACCTTTTTCCTTCTCCTCTTCGAATTCTCATTGTTTTGTGTGGCGCATATATATTTGGTGCCCTTTTGTACCAATATTTATGTGTTCAGATAAATAAATAATACATAATACTCGTAGTGACTAGTCATTTTATTTAAAACAGATTGACACGTTTAGAAATGTCAAACCGAAAATATTTTATGATTTCTTACTGTTATCTATTCACCAATAGGTATAGGTTTATTCGTTCGTCTTTGAGCCGTACTTTTTGTATGATAGCCTACTCTACTAAACTGCTCAAAGAGAACTAGTGGAAGTAGGATATAGATCCGTTACCTGTAATATCCTTTCCATTCAATCGTCAGTTAATGCACAATTCTCTGGACAATATTTTATTAGGACACTGTTTCTTTCTACTAAATATATTGAGATATAAAAACATTTCGCCTTGAAACTTTCATAGACGGAAGGAAAATCTATGCTAACACCAAAAGATGGCTGTATTTTTTGCTCCATTGCTTACGGAAAGACAAATCAAACAGTCTGTTTCGAAGTAAGTTTTGATTATTCTTGTTAATCAATAATTTTTCCGAACACTTATGAAAGACCAATGATTTAGTGATATTTCATGATCACTTACCGAAAGCTCAGTATCACTTTCAATGTGTTCCTAAAAAGCACATAAGGAACGCTAAATATTTGACTCACGAAGATATACCACTAGGTAAACTCTGGCTTTGCTTCATGTAAATCAGTTATGGATATGATGAATTGCGGAAAGAATTATCTCACTGGTCAATTGAAATTGGACCCAGACGATTTTCTGTAAATTATCATTTAATATCAAATAAGTTGTAGGTTTGGATTTCATTGGCCACCATTCAATAGTGTCCATCATCTACACATGCACATCCTTGGACCTAAACAACTTATGAGTTTTAATCTAATGTTTGATCCGCGGTTTCATATTTTCCGAAAGGTAAGTGTGCGATCGTACTTATTCTGACGCTTCTTCTATCAATTCTTTGCTAGGTTGAGAGAGTTTTGGACGATTTAAAAAAGCTCAAAATTGAAAGGAAGAAGTGAAATAGGTCAACCTTAAGCAGTCCAATGAATAACTCAATATTTAGTTGGCTTCGTTTACGTGCTTTCATATTTTCTTTTCTATTTTGCCGATCATCAAATCAATGTAGATAGTTCTTTTTTACCGTGCTTTCGAATCATGTAATTTGATATACAGTCTACTATTTCTCAGAACAATCTTAAAAGCCGTTGTGATATTGTTTCGACAGAAAGTATGTTTTCATTATTTTATCAGATGCGATTCTCAATGAATTATATTTTCTATGATATCTTTATCATAACTTTTTCATAGTGTGTTCAGGTACGATTTTCATTTAATATTCTGCAGGTCGGAAACCCATAAGAAATGATTTTTATTTATTTAAGCAAACACATGAACATTGGTACAGGGAGGCACCAAATGTTTATGTGCCGCACTTCGTCATTCGACTTGTGTAAGGGCTTGAATATTGTTTAAACTGAAGCAGGTGGTTTTCTCAGGTCACTTCCCCAGCCTTTGACCTAGAGGTCTAATCCACAAAGCAGTGGGGAAACGTTAAGACATGCAGTCCCACGGTCGCTGGTGATCCAAAATAGTTTCATACGCCAGTTTCCGTCCAGGGATCCTTGAGTCTATATGCACCACAGGTTTGGAATCAGGGTTCCCCAAATCCCCCAGATGGATCCTCCGTATCCGTTAACACGAGTTTGCTCATACCCTGCTATACACAACCATTTCACCAGATTTTTGGGAATAAAGACGGCTACTATTACAATATGAAATGTTGGACTACAGTACGAGAAAAAAGATAAATTCTTCAACCCTACTGAGCAATGACGGTATCGAAGATTCTATCCTGGGTGACCGTTGTTTCTTGTTCATTCGCACTTAAGAAAAACGAAGTTGTGAGGTTGTAGACGAAGAAGTAATGGCCGAATGAGACTGGGATCAGTCGTCCCATCATTACCCTCCAGTTAGAGCTCTAGAGATTGTGCAATGCAGTGGTTTCAGATGTGTAGCCCTGACTGTCAGGCTTAATCTTTGGTCGCTTTGTCAATTTTCAACTGAACTGTATCCCTTACTGAATACTGTTTCTGTTCATCTATTAATGGAAACAATTAGTCGCTTTGATTTTTTCGTACAATGTCTTAACAAGCGCTAATGAGGTGTGGCAACTTGGACCGATGCATATGTGTGCCTGGTCCTACGTTGTAGCGGACTGAATTAACAAGTATATATATGGTCAGGTTGTTCGAAATGTATTGCAGGGACCTAATTCTGATAACCTTTGTACTCTGACCGCGTTGTCCATAATTTTAAAGAGAGCAAGAACAAAGATTGGTGCAGAATAATATGAATTCATTTTATTTCGTTAGGTTCTCATCAGCTGCTTACAACCTAAATTATTTGAAAATTCAACATTAATACAGATATTGACATATTTATATATAAGAGTGTGATTAAGGATCAATACATGTGTATGATGATGTAGCAAGCAAAGATTCAGATAGAGTTAATGAGCTCATAAAATGTTTGATTCGAATAAATAAATAAAGTTTGAGAGGGAAAGTTCCAAAACATTGAAATAGTGATTAGAACTCATGAAAATAGATTAATGGTAATAAAGAAAATATGAATTTAAATCAGTCAGTTATGTATGATGTAATTTATATTTCAGAAAGAGTTGCAATAATGACGTAATAAATAAATAAATAGGAGCAAATTAATAGAAAGAGTGGGGGTTATTGTTACCAGGGTAAAGAAAGATTTATTACTGTCTCTTTTTGTATACATAGGTCTGGTTTTAAACGCTTGATTGCTAACGCTTCAGCGAATTTCAAAAGGTTCGAGTTTGATTGTTTGTTAATCACCTTGAAGGACTTCAGTATATCAGCTTTATGTCCTGTATCAAGGAGATGTCTGGCGATAGCACTGTTGAATGCGTTCAATCCATTTAACCTTAAACTTTTCGGAATATGTTCTTTGAATCGGACGTAGGCTCTCCTTTCTGTTCTACCAATGTAACTGCTTTGGCAGGTACATGTAAATTTGTATACACAGTTGGTGGTAACATGAAAGGGATACCTATCGACCTTTGATTGTGTCAAAGAGCATGTTGTTTTGGACAGGACAATCAATTTCGCTGCAGGAAAAGTTCTTGTTAGTGCAGTTTTTAGTCTCATATTGATTGATCCTGTGACATTATCACCTTGGAATTGAAGATGAATAAAAATAGGCTTTTTATTTGCTGTAATTTCTTTGGTTTTTTTTATCTCCACGTTTGCCATATTTCTCAATAAATTTCAGTGGATATCCGTTATTCTTTAAACATTTTTTAACATTCATAACTTCCTCTTCTAGTGTATCGGAAGTACATATTCTTTCTGTTCTGTAAAACAGTGTTTTGACCAGTGCCTTTTTGTAACTGATTGGACAAAAGCTATTGAAATTAAGATAACTACCATTCCATGTGTCTTTCTTATAAACTGAACGTTGAACTGTACCATCTTTTCTTCTTTTCATCGCGATATCGAGAAAATGGAACTTGTTTTCTTTTTCATGTTCCATGGTGAAATGGATATTCGGATGTGCTTCGTTGAAAAACTAGCAGATTTATTGCATGTTGTTTATTATTACATACGATGAAGGTATCATCAACATATCTCGAATAATACGTCATTTCATCAATCGCTCGTTTGAGTTTGGTTCTTTCGAGGTTAGCCATGAAAATATCTGCTAGGACAGGACCTAACGGACTTCCCATCGCTACACCATCGATTTGTTTGTATATGATATCGTTGAACTCGAACTGAACATCTTTTGTACAAATGAGTAATAGTCGTTTGAATTCTGGTACTGGTAGAGGTAGGATGTCAGAATGTTGACAAATTATGTCTATGGTCTCAAGAAGTGGTATTTTTGTAAACAAAGATGTTACATCAAAAGAAACCATAAACTTACCGGCAATATTTATGTGATTCATGCTATCAGCAAATACAAATGAATCCTTTAGTGTATAGGTGGCTAATCGTTGACGCACTGGTTCTAACTTATCTGCCAACCATCGTGCAACTTTGTGGTATGGTGAATTGATCATTGACAAAATAGGTCTAAGAGGATAACCTTGTTTATGTATTTTCGGTAATCCATACATGTGGGGCAAACGAGACCCACGAGGTCGTAGATTATTGTAAGTAGAGTTATCGATCATCTTCTTTTTCAGAAGATCTCTGAGTACTTTGGTGATTCTTTTCTCAATGGAATCAGTTAAGTCTTTGTTACTTTTCTCTAACTTGAATCTCATATGGTCATTCAAGATGGACTTCATCTTAAAAACATAATCTGTTTTGTTCATTAGAACAACATTTGAACCTTTGTCTGACCGTAATATCATTATATCGTCATTTCGTTTAATATTTCGTAATGCTGTTTGGTGGTCTTTGGATAAAAGCTTAGACTGTGGTGCGGGTGAAACAAGATATTGGTTTGCAATATCGACTAGTTTAGATTTAAACCAGCCTTTCTTTTCTTCACTAACTGGGTGCAACTCTTTAATTTGATCAAATAAATTCTCAAATTGAGTTTCTGTGTCGATTCTGTCGGCATGTGTTTTGGGGATATGAAATTTAAATCCAGGTGACAAGGCTTCTGTTTCTGTCTGATTTAACTTCATTGTTGATAGATTATAGAGAAACTTTTCGGGGTTTTCCGGAAAGCCAAAACATAATTGTTCCTTTGGCAGAGTCTTTGACAAAGTTACATGGAAATTCTTGCATATTTTGCTTTGCAGATCTTGTATAAAGTTGATAAACTTTATGCGACATACGATACTTAGATTGTCGATTAATTCATTAAAGGCATTAGTTTCTGCCCTCAAACGTTCAATCAGTAACTTTGTTGATTCAATGTGAGATTTTGTGATGCGTCGAAGATTTTTAAGAGAAGGCGGAAGTTTAAATGAGCGTAAAGACTTTAAGAACTGACGTGGGAAACGGCATGACTTGAGACATTCATCAAAAAACTTTAGTCGAGTTATTTCTCTCGATATTCTGCAGCGTATTGTCACCAGGCGATTCAGTGACTTGAATGACTGTGCAGGGAGACGCATTTTGACAGGATATAAAACTGATATACTGAAGTCCTTCAAGGTGATTAACAAACAATCAAACTCGAACCTTTTGAAATTCGCTGAAGCGTTAGCAATCAAGCGTTTAAAACCAGACCTATGTATACAAAAAGAGACAGTAATAAATCTTTCTTTACCCTGGTAACAATAACCCCCACTCTTTCTATTAATTTGCTCCTATTTATTTATTTATTACGTCATTATTGCAACTCTTTCTGAAATGTAAATTACATCATACATAACTGACTGATTTAAATTCATATTTTCTTTATTACCATTAATCTATTTTCATGAGTTCTAATCACTATTTCAATGTTCTGGAACTTTCCCTTTCTAACTTTATTTATTTATTTATTCGAATCAAACATTTTATGAGCTCATTAACTCTATCTGAATCTTTGCTTGCTACATCATCATACACATGTATTGATCCTTAATCACACTCTTATGTATAAATATGTCAATATCTGTATTAATGTTGAATTTTAAATATTTTAGGTTGTAAGCAGCTGATGAGAACCTAACGAAATAAAATGAATTCATATTATTCTGCACCAATCTTTGTTCTTGCTCTCTTTAAAATAATAAAGGGATCTATGCGTATGAAATTATCCATAATTATTTATTGATTGTACAACCTCAACTTCGTTTATTCCTACACAATATCGCTTCCTTTGTGTGGTGCATTTTTCGGAGCCGTGTTGTACCTAAATAAATATTAACATGAAGGCTAAACCCCGACTTCTAGTTTACGACGGTGCATTTGTTTATTTAAAAGGTCGAAAAGTCCCACGAAAGTACAATGCCTTTGAAACGACTAAGTAGTCGGTAGGGGTCAGGTGTGACGAGAATTTTGTTAAGACTTAACTATTAGCAATAAATGTGAGTTGCATGCACAATTCATTGAAACACACTCGGATTATCATTATCTGTTTCTTTCGAATCAGAAATACTACTGAACCCTACAACTCATCACCTAGCAAAATAATTGCACTACTAATTATACTAAAACAATCAAATTAAATATTGTTTATGATAATGAACAATGTATCATCACATTCGTGCTCAAAGAAAAATATCACTTCGATTTTATAGACAAAGAGAAAAACGAAGGAGAAAATCTTTAACAACTGAACGTAACATACACATGGAAATAAAAAATAAAATGGCATAAAACACATTAGATAATTTGCAAGATCACATAGTAAGAGGGGAAACTATGAATTCCTTGAACCCTCTCGTCAGTCAGTCTGTTCCACTTTTAGTTCACTTAATGTTTACGAAATGTATATAAATGTAACTCATGTGAATCATTAGTCAGACAGAATTGAGATAATTCTTACCTATCCGAGTCATAAATCACAAAATACGCGATAGTACGGTCTACTCAATTAGACAGTTCGTTTTCTCTAGAGTGAGCGAATAATATAGTAATGGGATTACTGATAGACCGCATGTGTCGAGAAAAAAAATGAAAACAACATTCGTAAACGAGAACATTATCAACAATGAAAGATCTTTTGTTTTCTGTCTAAAACTGATAGTTCTGCTCTATTCAGTAAAACGATAATGAATAAGAATGAAAATTGAGATGGATGAATTACATATGTTTCTGGTTACTATTCTTGCTAATATAACAGAGGGAGACAAAGCGTGATCTGACAGAAAGATTTTCACAGGTTAACGTAAGAGTTAAGAGAAAATGAACCATCCGAATTAGGGACAGGAGTAAAAAGCAATTCATATTGTGTACAGCGATTTAGGAGAAAGTACAGTTATTGATTTGAAATCGTCTGCTGATGATAACAGTAAATATTATACATCGAAAGACTAACAACGTGTGATCTCCCGACAAACTTATCCTATCAGTGGTAGGTAGCTGATTGGAATGGGTCCGACTGAACGTCGACGGGATTTGGACTAAGTGGTTTTGGTCCACTCTGTGATCGAATACGTTCAGCTCGTCGAGTCGGAGTCCGAACTACAGGCGTTTGTTGTCTAGGACTGTTTTCCTTAGAAGTATTGCGTTTGATACCTTTGCTTTCAAGGCTTCTCGTAGTGTTAAATGAATGGCGATTATGGGTGCTCTAAAATGAGACAAGTGAAAGGAAATCACAAAACTATATTTTATCATGAATAAAAGTAAATCACATGGCCATTCGATAGAAGTACAAATGTCACACAATCCATTGAATTTACAAGTATACATTCCGAAAATACACACGATTAGTATGATAATAGACAATTTGAGGCCTTCCTAGGAGAACTGACAAAGAACCCAATCGAAGTTGACTGTTGATAATACATTCTGCTTAGGTAGATCAAAACCACTACGTACTTACTTTTCCAATAATTTTGTAGTGACAAATCCATGACTTTGATGGTCTTACACATGTTAATCCTCATAGTGACATACCGCCGACCACGATATTCCTAGGCTCTTCTTTCCAATGGTTTTCACGTCCTATTCATTTTTTTTGATGTCTGTCTCCAATTCCCCACACAATGTGCTCCTTGATCTCAGGCACACCATAGTGAAGAATAAGTTTCTCTCATCTACACTGTCAAACGCTCTCTCATGTTCAAGGAATTTGATATGAAGTGACGAGTTTTGCAAAACCGGATGTTCACCAATGATCCTGTTGAGGACGTTGGATCCCTAGAACTCACCTGGAAAAAGTCCTAATTTTGTAATTTTATTCTGAACATTTGAATCTGTTTTCGCGCCAAGAGACATTTAGTTGACCTACAGCTCACATTTCCCACTCGGAAATCCTTGACTGTCATTGGTTGACGGATCTTTTTAGTACGCTATTTTGTGGCTCTCCAAGGGCATTTCTATCATTGTATAAATAAGCTTGGTTTGTGTGCTTAGTGATCTCGTATTTTCTGATTGCATGCAGAATACATTCTCTACGTCTCATCAAGACTTCTTGATCTAGTTAGCAGGGCCGGGGAAAACGGATTAAAATAGCTTATCGTCTAAATGTATCTTTGACTTTCGTTCGGTTTACCGAGTCAGGTGAACTCGTAATAGCATTCAAGCATAACAGATCGAAATTGTCGCGATCAAGTGTGAAAACACCATCAGTGACAGCAAGTGGAAATACAGTTTTGAGTACAAATAGCGCATCAATTCCAAACCGCATAGTTCATATTCATGTTGGGTTGCCTTTAATTCACTTACACAACTAAATCTCTTCGGTCACAAGCGTTAACTGACATCTTACTTATCTAGTTTATAATTACGTGATAATTTGGGATATTTCTTGAAAGCTGATTTTGCTGCATTAAGATTTCCCCCAGTTTTCTACACATAAATAATTTCTGGCACAAAGAAGTAACTACCACATTGAGAACATAAAATGTAAAATGTTTCAACGGAGTAGCATACAAAAGACACGGCCGCAGATTGTACACGGATAATCTGACTATAGCAAACCATAAACCTAACAGAGTATTCATAGACCAACCATACAGTTGTATTAAAGGAATTGTCAAATACCTATGAATTGTGGTGTCAATAAGCTTGTGTTTTTCTGGATGGAAATGTCAATATCTTCAAAAGGCCAACTAGAAAAGAGAAGACAAGTCGAGGAACTCTTGATTCTCATACACTAGTTGAGAAATTATTCTTAAGAGCATTAAAGATGTTGGTGATTGTTTGTAATACAAAACATGATATCTGTGTGACTCACCAACAATATTCTTAATCAGAAGGTACAATTCTAAAGGTATCTATTCACAGTGAAAAACAGCGAAGTCAGAACAAAGACTGATATTGAATGAATCAACAACCAATTAGTTTATTGACGGTGTAACTCAACAAAGAATACATTCGTGTACTCAGTTTTGAGTCACATTCTGTGTGGAGACTAATGACATCACCCGGCTCCTCAACCTTACCCATATGGAGCTAGACTCAGACATAAAACATAATGGTTGGAAGTTGAACACCTGAACCACTTATCCACCACCCCACAAAATTACAGTTTATACTATATGAAGAAAATAGGCAATGTATCGTAGTAAACTTACAGTAGAACGTGTCCGTTTCTTGTTAAATGAATTTTCGATCGCACTTTTCGGCATAGTATCAAAAACACAAGACGGTTGAAATGGAGATTGAGTATTGTAATGTAATTGTACTTGTTGATGAATAATATTATTATCACGTAAACTATTACACAGGACAGCCTTCTCCTCAGAAGTAACTGGAATACAATCCTCATCAGATTCACTATCAGTTGAAAGTCTTGAATTATAGCGTTTTCTTGATGTTTGTACAGTTTGTCCAACAACATCACTTTCATTGAACAGCTCTCTTGGTAACGCTTGTACACTAGCAGATCGTATAATTGGTGGCCACACTCCAGCTAATCTATCTATTTCATCACGAATGTGTTCATAGTCTTTACGTGAAACATGTCTATTGGATAACAATTAGAGAAGAACAATCCCAAGTATTTGTTTAACACACAAAACAAACAAGGATTTTCAAAAGGTTTAACTAATTAAACAGCCGGTACAATTCTTGTACTATCCAACTAGTCGACAGAACACATCATTTTGCTGAAAATGTTTATTATATGGCAACTGTTACCGACTTTGAAGTGTGAAAAGTGAATGATATGAACATTCGGCTAATTAGACGAGCAATAATAGGTAAAACATTGTATGGTTGTGAGACCAATCGCCGTCAAATTGGCCTCCAGGGCAGGCGCTTGAGGGTGAAACAATGTGATGTATTTGCACTATATTATTTCGAACTCTGTCTTCTTAGCGTTCTACTGAAATTGATAAACGGGACCAATTGCTTCAAGTCGTATTGTTGACTTAATAAATATCATACTACTAATTACCGATAAAATAATCTGCATTTCAGTAGTTAAAGCATTTCATTAAATGTATGGAAGAAATCGACCAGTACTGAACAAAATGGAATGTATTCTAGGCAGACATACCTGGGAAATAAAGCATGTTGAATATGACGTATTCGTTGTCGAAATGAAACGCCATCAACGATCGATTCCAAAATATATCCAAATAGTAAATTCCCCAATACTATTCCATGAAGAATTATTACAAAATAAACTGAAGGGAAACGACAGAGCTGGAAATAAAATAACAAAACTAATAACATCACATACAATCTACAGAGTCTGTCAGAAATGTAAATAAACATTCAGAAAATTGTCCAACTCTTTTATGAAATGTTTTTCAGAAGAGTCTACTGCAGAAGAACGTTTGTCAGCTATTTACAACAGGTATCTTGAAGTGACGAAAACTTCAAAAAGGATTAATATCCAACATCACAAAAAGATCATATTAGCCGGTACAACGTTTACATTCAAATTAGAAGACGAACACCATATCATAGTGCTGCTTTCGCAGAAACACACTAATATAATCAAGTATAGGTGGTACCAGTTCTTGAGGAGACCACAGTCAAACTTCCTTTCATACAGGCTAATTACACTAAACATCCACCGGACTAAACTGAACAAATACGACGTGGTTATAATAATAATAGTCATGTTAATGACAATACATAAATACATTGTGACGGAAACAATGTATGCAGAAAATTATTATTATTATCATCAGCTTTATTCAATATTATATTTTTGGTACAATACAAAGGACAATGTAGAAATCTAGATTAAGGAAAGTTGTTCTCCTATAGAAACAATGTGAATCTCTCTATTCAGTATGTATATGTACCAAATGAATATGTCCAAGTGGTGGTTGCTACTATTAATAATACAACTACCACTACACACACAAACAAACCTTTATAATAATAAACAAAGGGATAACAAAAAAAACTGTGGTAACCTAAAAATATATGAAAACAATGAAACAGAAAAATCACTTCTTTTATAGATTGTATTCGTCTTAGATCGATTTTGGTTAGAGTATCATTAAAAACTAGGAAGCACATGACAGTCGTTTCAGCCACGTAGAAGATATCTTAAAAGTGCGTACCCAAAAACACTCCAGGGATCTAACCCACGACCCTTACTTCAGTTCTCGCGGCGAATGCATATAGTTTAAAAAGTAGAATGGTCAATAAATTGTTATTCAATAAAAACCAACACAGTGTTTCGTCCTCCACCGAAATCTTACTTCGAATAATTTGCGAACCACACGGGCTGGATGAGATGTTAAGTATAATGATCCGGCAATACATACAATAAGGTTGACAACGAATAAATCTATGGAATTGGAAAGTCATAGAGAAAATGACGACTGCGCATTAGTTACAACCAAGGTAAAAAATATTTAATATCAGAAAGGGGTTTTGTGGAGATTTTAGTAATTTTAATTGTTGAGATCATGAATCAATTGAAGCTAAACCACCATGGAAAACCTGGAAGCACTGGACGGCCGTTTCGTCCTAGTATGGGACTCTTCAGCAGTGCGCATCCACGGTCCCGCTCCCTGCGAGATTCTTGAAGTTTATGCATAATATAACCATGTATTACATGCAACATTACGCATATTCTGATTGTGATTAAAAGAGAAATCCATACAGTTGTCTGTCTTGATCAATAGTAAAGACAAGGAGAACTTATGGAAGTTGTAAACAATAGGAGGATTATGGCTGAAAGTGGAATTTAGAGCACGCATTCCGTCCTCCATGGCACTCATCAGCTGGATATACCTGCATCCCAGTGTTGATCTTCACATTGTCACTCGAACACAATTCCTACGCTTCAAACGCACAATCTGATATGCACTGAGCTAATGAGTCAGGACAGTTACAATTCAAAAGTTTCACACATTTCAATTCCAGTACGACTGTCCTGATTGACACATCAGATCACAACGAAATGAACATATCATCTATACAAAAATACAATAGTCTTAGCCAATTATCATCTCTCAATTTTTTTCTTATGATCCTCAAGAAGATTGTCGTAAACAACTGAACTCCCATTAACAGTGATTGTTGCGGTGCAATGATTAACATCGACTAAGTTGGAAACTTGCATCTAGTCTAAATGAATTGTCATTGCATAAACTGTCTTCTGGTATTACAAACAATCAACCGGAAACACTAAACCTAGGTTTCGTAGTAGCTGGTGGCAGTCGTCAGAAAACGAATTCATTGTTAAAATACCAATCCAATCATGAGAGGTCAAACAAATAATAATTTGGACAATATAAGACAATAATTAGAAAGAAACAACTTACGATTAGAAAGAATTGACCGACGATATGGTGCAGATTTAGAGAATACAATAGCCAATATGATATATTGATAGACAGATACGGAGAATATGGCCGTACTTTCATAATTTTTTAATTCATAATCTTCATGATAAGTAAACAGTGGTAAATACCTTCAATGAAATAAAGGATAATGATGATAGCAATCAAAGGAGTTGCATGAAGGGATAACGTGCTTTAGAATGAAAGGACCGCTCAATCAACCCATAAAAGTCTGTCCACACATTAACACTACCTAGCGGATCATCGCTAACAAGATATTATAAGTAAACAATAGCAGTCTATATGTTCCTTAAGTAATTTTTGAAACAATATAATACATCGATTTGATTACAATTATCAAGTTAATGCACTAACAGGTGCTTAAAACAACAACCAATACAAACGGATGCTACAGATAAACATCACAACATGAGAAACATATTCACTAACCATGGTTGTAGTCGGGTAAACACAAAGACTGAAAATTGTACAAGACCACAAGTGAGTAACTGCAAACCCAATGATAACAAGGTCACAGTTGACACTAGTCGCATCGCAGGAGGTTCCACCGAGAGACGAGGATACGCCGGAGTATAACCAACTAATGGAAAAAAACCAATACATCTTTTTAAAGAAAAAATAACCAATAAACAATATTCGTGAAATTACGGAGAATGACCATTGTACCATTTAAATAATCTAGGCTAGACCACTTGCATGAAAAACACTTTGCTTCATGAAACGTGACGTTTTGCATACAAACAAACGTTCTACACCAATCAGGTCACATAAATGATTTTCTCGTTTTCCAACTATGTCTTGACTTGACACGGTTCTCTTTCAGTCTTATTCGTGCTACTGTTACCTGGTAGTCATGTAAAAATATATCCGCTGTACGTGTTTAATCGACTTCTCGGGACAATCGACAATCCAACATGAACAGCATTCAACAGTATTGCAGTATAAAGAAATTTTGCCGTTGAAAGTGATTACATTTGTATTTACCACACGAACTCCAAGGAGATCTATCACAACAGAGTAGTTGTTCAACCTGAACACTAACAATCATATACAATTTTAGGATCACGTTCAAATCCAATTGAATTTAGTGACGTATCGATGAAAGATATTAATGTAGCTTGTATTTCAAAAATAAAATGAACCCAACCGCAATAAGTAAATAATGTCTGCTATTGAGAACATGAAGACATTGCAGGGATTACTTTCGATAAGAGGGAAATTCTGTTGAAAAAACCTAGTGTTAGTCGTGAAATCGCAATGATTTCCGAATCGATAGAGAGAAACTAAGGTTAAATTAAGGAAACATAAATCAATCTGCTTATTCATATAAGGTACGATAGTTCGAGTGAGGTCATCTATTCGTGAGGCTTTATGTGAAATATCTAATTGTAGATCAGAATAAAGTATCACATTTGAAAAATATGTAAAAACACGGAGACAACCAGAATAGTACATAAATCATTGTGGAAATCAATAAAATGATGAAAATAAGGATTCCAAGCAGACAAAAGTGAATGATGATATTAGCAGAGGAAAGCTGTTTTGTAAGATATGTGCGTACAGTGAGCACCAATATACTAAAAAGTTATGTTCAATACAACGCTGATAACTGTTTTCAAACAACGATTGTTACACTTATAAAGATTATTATTGTACGATTGTTTTTGCCTGATTAATGACGATAGGTAACACGTCACTTCTTTACCAGCTACACTGATTCTTCTCTGGGTAGCAGTGATAAACTAAAACAGTCCTAATATTTCAGTAATAGCATACATGGACCATCAAACTAGACTGTATTATTAGGTAAGGGATGTGTTTCTAGAATACCAAGTAAAGGATAATTAGATATCTTAAAGGTCCGATCGTGTGACAACACAACTTCCAAGATTACTGACATCTGTGAAAATTATGATTTACACTAGGATTCGTCATTGACCACGACTTTTTCCCATTTAACCTCAGCAGATGTTCCAACAAAATAATGCTGTGACAGTATCTGACTTCAAAAGCACATTACAAAATGTTACAGAAGACACCATGATCAAAATCAGACAATTATTTAGAAGCTTATAGATACTACCCAAAAATGAAGGTAAAAACAGTGATGTCTAGTGACATTATCTATATCGACTTCTAATTGATAATCTTGAAAATTTCTTCCCGTTCAGTCAACATATTACCATTTTAACTAAGTCTATTTAGTTTATTGCAAAATCCTTATATTTGAATTAGCCCCAATCTACTGTGCCATTCCAAGGTATAGAAAATAAACGGACCCAAATTCATGTTAAGCTATAATGTAGTTATCTTTACTTTTTCAGTCAGAGTAAAACATTATGACAAGTCACACAAATTGGTACAAAATTCTATTGCAATTCGATGATACAGATATGTAGAGATAGTAATCTTTTAATATATTTACAAAGACAGATTTTATAGGCAAACAAAAGTAAGTATTGTCAACATACAGTTTTAAAGTGCAGATTTGTTCTCAATTTAGAATTGTCTCATTGGCTTCGAAAAATGATGATATCTAACAGAGAAATTTTGTATTTTTGATTAAGAGGTTCTATGAAGATGACTTTCGTTTTCGAGTGGTGAACATCATGAATTTACACAGGTTGAGGCATCACTAAAATCAAGAGTTATTGAACAGTTGCTATTTTAGTACAGAACTACTTAGCAGCGCTCACTAACGACAACAACAAAAGTTGTAAACAGGACATTTGAGCCGTTCCATCCAAATGGTATAAGGGTTAAATGTTTGTCGAGAGAACCGAACGTCGTGAGGTTTGATTCTAGACAGGATTGTGCGTGTGCACTAATGAAGAATCCCACATTACGAAGAGTTATTTGGTTCTTCTTGGTACACATAGCTGTCTAAACTGATATGTGTAAGTGACAAAGGCCACCCACAAGTAGATGAAGGTCAACTTACCAGTTTTGAATGGTGAAAATTCTCTAATCCAAATAAGGAAGGAAATAAGATGAAACACTACCATTTTTAGACAATGTGGTAATGAAATATTAAATGCAGGAATGAAACATAAATGACACTAAACAACACTTTATCCTAAAAATTAACCGGAAAAAGATGTTGAGAGATGGAAAATCAGAATTTGAATGCTAATTAGAAAACATACTTCGCGTAAATATCACGAGATGCCACATGTTGAGTGGATTAGTAGTTACAAAAGAAAGATAATAATGTGATTAAAATTGGCGGCAAAAAAGCATAATGACTGAAATTTACAATTGTACATGTACATTAGGTTAAAGACGAGAATTTCAGACTCATCAAAACAAAAGATGCATAATAGATAGAAATAGCTCCCATGATGAAGTACTTGAAAAAAAAACAGTATGTAGCATCAAGCTGTACACCATTATTTAAACAATGTAGGTAATTGTTAGTATGTTACTAATGTGAAGTGGGTTGGAACTGTTCATTCACGGAATGGACACCGGAGTTCTAAAGTACTGAACAATAATAGTGTAACAATGTAAATATTAATTAACCGAGGTCATTATGACACTAGGTGTATGTGTTGAGGGAGAAATATGCATAAATACATATGACCAAGAAGTTTAGATTCAGCATTACAGATTATTAAAAGTACTTTCAAAAACAGAGACACACAAATATGAAACATGTCAAAAACGTCACTAAAGAAATGAGTTCAGTAGAAAAAATTAAATCCAAGTCAAGTAATCCAGGAGAATGAGAGTAAACTTTATTATTATTTATTTATTTGAACACATGAATATTGGTACAGAAGAGCGCCAATATATATGCGCCACACAAAACAATGAGAATTCGAAGAGAAATATAAAAAAAAAATAAGGAGCGCAAAAAGAAAAAGAGAACAATAACGAAGAGATTGGTGTAAGGTAGTGTGATAGTGACGAGGGAACGGAAAGGTACAATCAGAAGAAATCCTTCAGGTAAGGGAGACACAACCACGTTTTATGAAGAAAGTAAAGAAGGTTAGAGCGGGATCGCCACTGGCTTCTATTCTGATCCATATCTGATAACGTCTCTAGCCACTGCGTTGCACCATCTCTTGGACCCCAGCCAGGGAGTCCTGAAGGACCAACACAAGCCAGTCCTTTGCAGCTTTCTTTCATACCACAACACCATGTCATGCACTGACCACCTCTCCGCTTCTTCCAACCAGTCCCAGAGTCGGCAAATAATGCACGACGTGGAATTCTCTGGGACGACATTCGTAGAACATGTTCAAGCCACCGAAGTCGGTGTTTCAAGGTGGTGACACCAATTGCATTATCGTTTCTGCGCCCGAACACACGATGCCGAACCTCTGCATTACTAACATGGTGTTGCCACTGGATGTCAGCAATCCTTCGGAGACAACGATGATCGAACACAGAAAGTCGTCTAACGTCATCAACTCGGAGAGGCCAGGTTTCACAAGCATAGAGCAAGACTGCTCTCACCGACGCGTTGTAGATCCGACCTTTTACAGCCAGACTAACATCATGAAGGCGCCAAAGGTGGCCCAGATTGGCATAAGCCGCTCTGGCTTTCACTATACGTGCATTGATCTCATCACTCACACCACCACCAGCACTTATGCAGCTACCCAGATACACGAACTTCTCGACTATTTCTATCTGCTCACCATCCAGGGTGAGTACAGGATTGGAATCCTGCCAGTTTTGTAGAAGTACTTTGCACTTCGAAGGTGCAAAGCACATACCATACCTACAAACACTGATTGCCAACTGATTAAGTGCGGATTGCATGCCTTGGGCATTATCGCACAGTAAGACAATATCGTCCGCATACTCAAGGTTGAAAAGTCGTTCTCTAGGCAACAGATCCACACCGCCATTACTAACATCCATCAGAGCTGTTTCCAGAATGTCATCGATGGCAAAGTTGAGGAGGAATGGTGAGATTGGGCAACCCTGCCTAACCCCACTGCTTGAATGGAACAATGGAGAGAGGTGGTTATATGCGCTCACTCTGCCCGAGGTGTTTGTATATAGGGCCTTTAGGATGTTAATAAACTTCTCAGGCACACCCTTCTTCAATGGATAATCCCAGAGAACAGTCCTGTCCAACGAATCGAAGGCAGCCCTGATGTCAAGAAACACTACGATTGTTGGCCTTTGATAAGTATGGCGATGTTCTAACATTTGGCGGAGGGTGAAGATATGATCAACACATCCTCGACCAGAACGAAACCCAGCCTGCTCCTCGCGAGCCAATCTTTCTCGGGTTTTGAACGACCTACGAAGTATGACGGAAGCCAATAGGTTGGACGCAATCGGAAGTAGACTTATCCCCCGATAGTTGTTACAGGAACGACGTGAACCCTTTTTAAAGATAGGGACAACTAGCGACTCATTCCATGATGTTGGTACACTCTCTAGTTCCCAGACCTTTGTAAACAACGTCGTCAGTTCCTTAGTCAGAAAGTCACCACCATCTTTAAAAAGAGCCAGAGGTAAGTCATTTGGGCCAGGCGATTTGTAACGCTTCAAGAGTTGGAGTTCCTTGCGGACTTCCGCCTCATATGGTGGATCAGTCGTCACCGGCCGCAGAGGGTAGGACAGTCTGACCGATGTTGCCGGAGCAGCAGGCCAGTTGAACTGCACTTCGAAGAATTCTGCCCATCGTCAAAGACGTCGATGGATGTTAGTAATTGGCATCCCATCATCTTCGCAGATTGTTTCGATCACACCAGACTTCTTGCTGCCAGTGGCTCGGATGAGTTGGAAGAGCTTCCGGTAGTTACCAGATGCAGCTGCTGCTTCCAGCTCATCAGCACGCTTCGACCACCAGGCTTCTCAGTACTTACGCAAGCTTTGCCCAATTTCCTTACGTAACATCCTTCGTTTATGGTCAGACTCACGGTCACCCGGAGTAGACCGACGGGCTTCAATGAGTTGTAAGGAACCTGCAGAAACCCAGTGCTTATAAGAGGGACGTTTCGCGAACCCACAACTGGCTGTACCCGCCATTTTCATGGCGTCATGCAATTGCAACCAATGCTCATCTATACTTTTCGGTGGAGTGGTAGCTAGCCTAGAGGCTAGCTCGGTTCGATACTTACTAGCAACAGAAGTTGCAACCAGCTTGCTAACATCAATCCGTTGGTGGCGGTCAATTCGTTGGCCACTGAAAAGTAAAGTAAGATTGGCGCAGACCAGGGCATGGTCAGAGTCCAGATAGGTACTCCAAAATGAGCGGTAGTCTTGTACACAACCACGCCAGCGGTAGCTGATCGCGATGTGATCAATCTGAGTCCAGGCTTGAGATGCAGAGGGAGGATGCCAGGTGGCACATCGGCGATGACTGTGCCGAAAATTAGTGCTAGCCAGAAACAGGTTGTGGTCTGTACACAGTTGCACTAGACGGTCCCCGTTATCTGTCCTGCGACCAACAAGTCCCCATCGGCCACCTAAACGATTCCCTTCTGTGCCTAGACGCCCGACCTGAGCATTCAAGTCTCCGGCTAGTACTACAATTTCTGTCGAACGCACTTTCTGGAGAACAGATAATTGGTGGTAGAATTCATCCTTGATTGCATCCGGGCTGCAATGTGTCGGAGCATAGGCGGAGATGACGAAAAGACATCGTTTCTCACGCCGATTTCTTCTCACTTTGATGGAACTTTCTAATCTGACAGCACATAACCGACTGTTAATGGGGATCGAATCGATTAGTGCTGCCTCAGCTCTAGGGCTTAGTGCGACACCAACGCCAGCAAGACCAGACGAAGATGCCACAGGGTCCTCAGATAAACGCACGTAAAACAGGCTTTTTGAAGCGACAGATGGAGAGCGAATTTGTAGTACTTCGCCAGAGTCTTGAATACGGGTCTCGGATAGACAACAAACATCAACATTAAGACTTTCCAAAGACATGGCCAGCCCTATCTGTTGTCCGATCTACATAAGTGTGCGAACGTTGAAGGCAGCCAGTTTGAATGGCGCACGTGGTTTCAGAAAAACTGTTTGAGTATTTGTATTTGGTGGTAGCATACAATTTTCAATCAGGCAGTAACTCGAGAACGTTTAGATAGAGCCGAATTTCCACCACAGGCGAGCTGCTGTATAAGTCGAAAAATAAGTATACACAGAGTGGGAATAAAAGAGGGTGAATAAATGGCGTAGTAAATAATAATAATAATAATAATAATGTGAGTCATTTTATTGTTATTCAGAGCAAGAAGAATATTTTCCATAAATAGACAGTTAATTTTTTGTGTGTGGGCTGTGATACTGCTCGGGTGCCCAAACCGAAGCAGGTGGTTTTCTAAGGGGACCACACCCCGAGCCTTTGATCTAAAGGTCTGATCCACAAGGCAGTGAAGCATCGTGAGGAGATGCAGTCCCATGGTAGCCGGTGACCAAGAAATTGGTTCACACGCCGTTTGTTCCCACAGGATAATGGAACCCATGTGCACCATTGGTTTGGGATCCGGTTAAAGTGCCATTCGCTTTTCGTCCTCTCATTTTCGTAAACAACACCCTCGTCACGAGAAGGCAGTGAGTAGGACTTCCCTGGCAGAGGCTGTATACGCGCGGCTGTGTGAGAGTATTTCGAGAGGGAGAGCGGACTCTCCCCACTCTCGGCCGTACCAGGGCATTCGGAATAGAAGTGAGCACCGAGCAATTATTCAGCAACACCATACAATGTGTTTACCATTAGAAAAGTGATCTCTTCATAAAAGATGACTGGGAAAGGACCGATATCATATTTATCTGGTTTCCTCGTTCTGACCAAATTCTGTCTATCAAGTTACGATGTACCAAATAATTTGAGTAACTTGGAGTTGCATGGGCAATGTTGAGATGTATGTATGTATGTATGTATGTATGTATGTATGTATGTATGTATGTATGTATGTATGTATGTATGTATGTATGTATGTATGTATGTATGTATGTATGTATGTATGTATGTATGTATGTATGTATGTATGTATGTATGTATGTATGTATGTATGTATGTATGTATGTATGTATGTATGTATGTATGTATGTATGTATGTATGTATGTATGTATGTATGTATGTATGTATGTATGTATGTATGTATGTATGTATGTATGTATGTATGTATGTATGTATGTATGTATGTATGTATGTATGTATGTATGTATGTATGTATGTATGTATGTATGTATGTATGTATGTATGTATGTATGTATGTATGTATGTATGTATGTATGTATGTATGTATGTATGTATGTATGTATGTATGTATGTATGTATGTATGTATGTATGTATGTATGTATGTATGTATGTATGTATGTATGTATGTATGTATGTATGTATGTATGTATGTATGTATGTATGTATGTATGTATGTATGTATGTATGTATGTATGTATGTATGTATGTATGTATGTATGTATGTATGTATGTATGTATGTATGTATGTATGTATGTATGTATGTATGTATGTATGTATGTATGTATGTATGTATGTATGTATGTATGTATGTATGTATGTATGTATGTATGTATGTATGTATGTATGTATGTATGTATGTATGTATGTATGTATGTATGTATGTATGTATGTATGTATGTATGTATGTATGTATGTATGTATGTATGTATGTATGTATGTATGTATGTATGTATGTATGTATGTATGTATGTATGTATGTATGTATGTATGTATGTATGTATGTATGTATGTATGTATGTATGTATGTATGTATGTATGTATGTATGTATGTATGTATGTATGTATGTATGTATGTATGTATGTATGTATGTATGTATGTATGTATGTATGTATGTATGTATGTATGTATGTATGTATGTATGTATGTATGTATGTATGTATGTATGTATGTATGTATGTATGTATGTATGTATGTATGTATGTATGTATGTATGTATGTATGTATGTATGTATGTATGTATGTATGTATGTATGTATGTATGTATGTATGTATGTATGTATGTATGTATGTATGTATGTACAAACATGAGGGAACTGGTGCTCCTACTGTCACCCAGTGATCACTTAATTGTTATTATCTCGGTCTTACAGGTTTTCATTAGAGGACTGAATACTTTAGTGGTAACGGCTTAGACTGTGAAGTGGATAATTGCCAATCATTGACTAAGACCAATCCGCGACATATTCTACGAAAATATTTGGTAAATAATTAAATTACATTTTTGAATCCAACCATATTATCTATGAACAAACATAAGGAGAGAGTAGAAAACACTTGGAAGCACAATAATAATATGGTGAGTGACTTTTTAAATGATTACGCTATTTTTCTGAGAACAGGACAATCCCAATATATAAACTGCCAAATCAAAACAATAATAACTCAATACATACAACAAAGTGGCATAAAAATAAACGAGCCAAAATAGAAACACATACAACTTGACCATCTCATCATTCTTTTTAATAATAGAGTTTCCAAAATAAAATCACTAAATAAAGAAATAATTTCTCAACTTACACGTGAGACCCAGAGTTGTGATAAGGAAAAGGTCGATGAATAAAAATTGCAGGTCAGAAATATTACTGCCAATCTAGTGAGAAAGATGGAAAAAAACAAAAAAAAATGTAAGAAAAGTACCACTACAACTACCAACCACAACAAAATGATCAAAGAAAACAAGTGCTTAATTTGTAATCGGAATTTGTTATTTTGCTTCGTTTACAAATTACATTATTTTTCGATTTATGAAACAATACGTCTACAATTATAATTCGTCTAAAGGAGTGAATATTCTACTGAACACTATTAATACCTACTTAAATTATTTGTCTTGATTTACAATCTGAAATGAGTATAAATATGCAAATAAAGGGCAGCCTGCTTGAGCATCTGGGCTACCTGTTCCTGTCATCTAGATATTTTAACAAGTTATCTATTTTTGTTTGTTTTAATATATCATTATGTTTATTAATCGCATAGCCTATTCTGCTGCGTTTCTGAAAAGTGTACAACCTTTCGTTGTCAAAGTTACAAAAAACACAATAAGAGACAATGTGGTTGCTGGCAATATACAACGAAAAGAATGCACATTATTCAGATGTTCATTTACTGAACTACTAACACCTAACTGGAGATCACTCAATACTTATCGCCAGGACCGACCAAGAAGAAAGAAACGGAAACTTGTTGAAATACTTTGCGCTGAGAATTCTATATTGTACCAAAAATATAACATTGAGTAAAGCTGATGATAATAATAATAATAAAATACAACTTGAGAACCCTGGTAGCATCACCATCTCTTACACAAACAGTACATAAATTTGTGCTTGAAATATGGAACACGATATGATGTATTGAAGATACATAACAAAGAAAGAGTTTGAAAGTTGACAACGTGACGAATTCGTTCTTTATAATCCATTTATCATGTCATTTGACATTATAATACAATATATCAGTACAGAAAGCATCTACTAAAGTTTATAATTATGAAAGTAGGTAACAACGACTGATTTAAAATCATACGAAATGCCGGTTCATGGTCCTAAAAGAATTCATTTGATATAAATGATAATAGAGTGTACAATGAACTTAAAATACTTTCCGTAGACGCTCATAATTTTCAACCAAAAAATAATCTTAACTCTCAGATCAGAAATCTTGACATACAATTTAATTAAGAATTCAAAATGCACGTGAACCCCTCCCATGGCTAACTGTTTAGTGCGATTACCACTATAAATATACACAAAATAGATTGAGTCATTTGCATACAAATGATCTTTGAACATAAACCGATATTGACTACAAGGAAACCGTGAATCGCACAACACAAGTAAAAACACGAGAACAGTAGATAAGGATTTATGATATAAGAACTGCCAAAGTTCTACTTGGCACTAATTAATCTAACAACATGATGTCTGAAAACCAAATACCAGTAAATAACAAATAGAACTAATTTACTAAGTCATGAAATCGCTCCTACTTAAAACATAATTACAAGTCGTATACGACTGGAAGGAATAACTTCAGCAGGTCACTCACATACCAATCAATATAATACGTGTAAAACAAATCAATATACAACTGGCAACCTGAATTCACCTAGTAAGCAATCAACGATTTACCCAGTATAGTCACATATTTACTGACTAAACTTCATTCCAGCCAAAACAGTATGGTGATGTTGACGTAATGGTCGAAGCAAAGCAGATAATCAATGAAAATGAACAATCATCTGTTGGCTCATTTATAACTACGAAAATAATGCTCAAATGTGGTTATGGAAATAAATAAATAAATAAATAGAGATTTTAAACATAGATCAAGTGTGTAGAGTTTCAGTTTAAATACTTCCATATTATAATCAATGCAGGAAACTGGAATACATAATAGAGCTCTTCCTATTATTTACTTCTCTTAATAATGTGATTTTACCAGGAAAAAACACATTTTGTTTTGCAACTTTTATGTATCCACTCCTTCCATTGTTTAATTGTCCAATTCACTCTGACTAATGCCATAGAAATTCTACTATTTCTACCACGAAGAAACACGCTTGACTAGAAAGTAATTTCAATTACTACAGAAAAGTATTTGACGTGAAATTATAAAAGTATGCTTAAAAAATATTAGGTGCAATGGTACTAATCATCAAAACAATCAAACCTATTTCGATCATTTCTATGGGAAAATAATGAATCAACACAATATATGTACCAGAAAGGGTATTTGGAAATCTTAGTGATTGCAATAGTTGAAACCATGAGTCATTTGAAGCTAGACCCGGTTTTCCATGGTGGTCTAGCTTCAATAAACGCATGATTTGACAATATATATACATTTTTATACATCGATAAACATTATCCATCTTCTCGTTTAAAATAAATGTCATATTTATAATACACCATTCGACCATTAACAATTTAACCCGTGTTCTATGGTATTTCGTAATTTAGTTACAAATGACTAAACGTTAACAAGTACATCGACTGCAAACATAAAAAGACCATCCAATGAAATAAGGCCAAATTAAAACTGACAATATTACCGTATATGAAATACCTTATTGTATTTCACTGAAAAATAAAGCGTGCTGCAGCCGGAAATCTTAGTACAGTTCACCACACATTCAATTTCTTCAAAATGCTCAGACACATTAGAGTCCTTAGTTACATACACACAGAAATGATTTCAACAAATAACCAATAATTAATTTATAGAATAACAGATGAATCTAGAATGCCAGAATAATAATTAAGAACTTAAAGGATTTAATTAATTTTCGTAATAATTTAAAAGAGTTTGAACTAAACAGAAAAATACATTCCATTTTGTAAAACTAGGTACTTTTTGGCAAAATACCTAACAAATCACTAAACTACTAAGTTGGTAATAAGAAAATTCATTAAATTTTATTGGGAGGAACAGATTTTCTGAAGAAAAAAAACAAAAATTACTTACTAGTCACATGGATAATGTGTTTTATGAAATGAAGTTGATGTGGTGAGTAAACAAAAAGAAAAATAGAATTCACAATTTTACTGTTTACAAGACAAAAATGAGAAATAAATAAAAAAACTCAACAAGAGAAATGTATTGGAAAATAAAAATCTGTGATTTTAAATGTATTAGGGTTTAAGAAAATGATGCCATTTCAAAATGAAATAATTGTTAAATTATTAGCCGATTAATTCAATATTCATTAGATTGTAAATAGCCCAATATATAAAGTAATTTACAATAAGTGATGGATTGTTATAACTCAAAATACCTTCTTAATAAACAAACAATGAGTAATGATAATGAATACAAAGAACGAAAGTTAGGCAATGAGATCTAATGACAAGCTAGACAAGACAGGTTACACATGTCAAGGTAACTGGTAGGTGAGAAGTATAAATAAGTCACATCTTTGGAGTGATTTAGTCACCTGACCAACGTCACAGCCCATAAATCATTTATGTAAACCAGTAATATATAAATAAGCTGTGCAGATTCTTTGGTATGGTGATCAAAACTTTCTAATCATTCTAAGAATTTTAACTTGCAAATAGAATCGGCCAGGCATTTGGGATGTGTGTGTATACTGCAAACGTAGTGAACTTGCGAAACACAAAACTAACACTTAGCTTGACACAGAAAGTAAAAATCTGTTTTATTCTATGGTCAGATTTCGTTATGTTCTGAATGACTGACAAGGAAGTTATACAGATAATCAAAACTGTGTGAAGAATTTTCTTACACACTAGAAATGCTTACACGTAGCGAATTGCCAGGTTTAGTGTAAAATGTGAGCAGTGATGAATAATTGTAATGACAAACGTTCATATCCTCGTGAGACAGCAAATGCCCTCTCTCACACACAAATCAATAATTGCTGAGTCTAATTAACTATGAAATGGACATTAAAACTGAAAATTAACAAAACAGGAAAATATAAGCATAAAAGTATCACTGACGTTAAAAATTTTCAGTCATGAATAAACAGAACACTGACAGATTATTTTGAAATAAGACAACTAATGAGAAACAGCATTTCATTGAAAAAATCAGTCTTAATTATCTTAATTATCTCTCTCTCAAATAAATAAATAAATAAATAAATAACAAAAAAATTGTTTGGTCTTAATTTAACTACTGCATGATGCAGATAAGTATCGGCACAAAAAATTAGCAATAATGTTGTAACCGGTCACCAAAATTACAAAACGTTTTGCTAACTTCACTTGTTGGCACCGAGAAAAACTGAGAATTCAAAGTAACAACAAAACCAAACTTACATAATATAAAATTATAACAGAGAAAAATTGAATCATTGAATAACCGACCATAAATTTAAATGCACCAAAACTAGTAGTCAACGCACAACGACCTTCACGAATAAGTGTAGGCACACAACTAATATTTTGTTGCTTCGATGTGAAAGGACTAGCAACACTGGCTTCAGCTTCGCTTAATGCAATTCCAGCATGTGCTACTTTCAATGCACCACAATCGTTAGCGCCATCACCACACATTGAAACAAAATAACCAACTGATTGAAGTGATTCGATCAGTTGAGCTTTTTGTTCCGGACGAAAACGAGCAAACACAGTACCCTTCACTACAAGCTGAGAAACGCACACACAGAAAGAAAAAAAGACAGAAAACAACTAGAAACAAATCTAAACACAACAGTGCTATTAACATTGAAATATTCACGCTTCGAAACTAAAAATATATTGCAAGGTGGATAAATCACGAAAGAAACAGGAAAAGGTATACAGAAAAGTGTAGTAAAAGACTATCATTTCACTTCTTGTGCTGTCCTTACCAAGCATTCGGTAGTCCAGATCATCATTCAGAGAGACATGGTGAGATCTGATCAGTTTAGAACAAATGAAATAGATCTGAAAATCGTGAGACTAATCAAATACAGCGACGTTTCGCTGACCCGAATTTCGGTGAAAAATACCGTATTTTCATAACTACAAGTGGACAGATTACAATTAGCTGATAATTGATTAGTTACCGATATCGTGTCTGTCTAGTCCTTTTAATGTTGACCAAATTCTATCCATGACGATCCGAATCCTATATAGGGAACCAGTACTCTCAGGTGCACCTCGCAGACAAGTGTTAGTTAGCAAGAAACACAGGTCAAAACTTTCTTATCGACTACCTCCAACCACCAAACATCAAGTGGACAATTACTTTTAGATGCGTTAACAAAACGTCAACACGTCATAAACGTATGCTAATTACTGAGTTAGTACTGTTGAAAAAATACTGTGTATAACATTGACGCAAATCCAACTATGTACACACTGTAAGATGTGTGGATATCAAATTGAAAATTGGGTGTGTTTTCCATTTCAGTAAAACAGCACAAAACTTGTTTGTGCCACTGCACTTTGTTATCACACTGTTTTGGTTGTACATTGAGTGTATTTTGCATAAGAAAGTACACAAAATTAAAGACTAAGCACTCAAGTCTGTTACAATGATGAAGTATTTCAAACAGTAAAAGTCTAAACATTGTCTAGCGACAAGTACACAAAGCTGGACATGTATATACGTCATACATTATTTTGAGATTTAGCATACATTTTGGCGATACTATGAAAAATATATCACCTACACAATAAAAATTATATTATAATGAATAACAATAAGTCCATTATTGGTTTATAATATCGTTCCTTATCAACCCACATAATGCTTTGGCTATATAAAACACGTCTGTTGTGTGAATAATACATTTCTCTATACAAATGATAGGAGGTTTGAACTTAACACCTAACTAACTATCATTAAGCACTACGAGTTCACCTCAGTGAATTAGTCGAAAGACTATGTCCATTTTAAAATCACCTTCGATATACATTGATAATCCCATTATTACTCACCTTTGGTATAAGCCAGGGATAATATTCTCGTATGATAGCCCACGTTTTGCCAGACATAGCTAGGTGGAAATCAGGTCGATCGAGCATCCGTATAGATACAGAATGAGTGGGATTCAAACGGCGATTTGATACCGAATGCAAATCATCTTTCGAATAACATCCACTGCTTCCTATTTCATAATGGTGATGTTCTCGTTGACCGGATGAAGAAGCACGAGGGTGACCATTCACTGAAACATTAGGCACCGCAGTTATATCTGTCAGTGAACTTGAAGACGGTGAGGAATGCTGTTCACATCCCCGTGAACTGAGCGAAAATCAAATTAAAACAAACAAATACACACAAATAGTAATCGTGGAATTTAATAGATTTGAAAGTATTCCTAAAAAAAAAACAATTAATGGATAGTGAGACATTTGAGTTGTGAATAGCTTCAGATCACTGCGGTCACACCAGAACACCAGGGGAACGTTATTCGACGAATTATTAGTTCGGTTTACATATCTTCAGTAAACGTAATCCAAGTAGTTGGTTAGTCGAATAATGATTAACATACTCAGCTTCAACCATACAGTTTGTGGCAAACGTTAACGAAGTTATGTGCAACGGAATTAAAACTGGCCACCAAATAGGTCAAACAAGAATCTATTAATCACGAATCCATCGTTCCGTAGGAGACATCATTCATGCAGATCTATAGTACTCAATAGTGAGGATGTTTATATCATGAGGTCTCGCATCTAGTTACATAATTTCGAACTGTCATACAATGGTGAACGGAAATCTGCGCGATGACTCCAATGACTTCTGATCACTCAACTTCTGGTAATTTCAACAACATCTAAACCATAAATCCTTATCTACTATGTTGTAGAAACATATGCAGGGTGTTCAGATGTCACACGATCCAGCTCAGTTCAAGGTTGAGTGAACACTTCTGAAATTAGTGATTGAATTATGATCGTTACTTGCGAACTGCCCTGTTTGTCAACTAACTTTTAACAGTATCTGTGAACGCACAATTGTACAATGCAGATAAGTTTAATATCGAAATATGGCTTGAAACAGGAAGGTGAGTAATCGTATGGTTGACTACGTACTCCACACAAATAGTCAAAAAACTAAATAGAGATCAAAATGTAGAACATCCCAACTGATTCAAGACGTTATTCATGAATAATCCAGGTGCTGAGTTGTTAGCATGCAACTTGAAGTTCAGAGATTTCAAGGTACAAGCAAGGTAGAGATAAGATCTGTAGTCAATGTTGGTCAACAAAAGTAATAACATTTACTTAGGCTGTACATTCGAATTTGTTGTTTGGTAAATATATATAGGTCTATAGAAAGATAGAAAAATACCACGCAAATGGTTCAAGGGCTATGTTAATGAAGAGGCAATTATAAAGCGGATATATAGGTAAGGTATACATAGTAAAATGATCACTGATGATGTGGTTCCTAGAGGGTTTTCTAAACAGTCTAGATGAAAGCGATTACATTTACATAATGGAGAAAATAAATATTGGTTTAGTAGGAGATTTTCACAAATGAATTCATATGAACTTACACACATGGAACATCTTCACACAAGCGATGCATCAATTTTCGAGATTTCCTACTACTCCTTACAGAGAATCTGTGCGGATCAACATCAGTTTCAGTCGAAGTATTATTAACAGGCTGAGATCTATGAGATTTTTTCGTTGTTCTTGTTTCAGTTGTAGCTGTCACTTCAGTGACTGGTTTGTGTAAATCTTCAGCATAATGAAATTCAACCAATGAATCGTATTGCTGGTTGAAGAAGTTTTCCTCAAATAAAGAATTCGTTGCATTAAAACTCGAGTGTGTACGTGGTCTATTGTTGTTTCTTGTTCCTTGTGATTGTGTCAACGAAACAAATGGTAAACTAACATGATTTGAAGAAGTATGACTGTGTGGTTGATCACTGGGTAGATCAACTTTGGTAGAACAAGCTACAGAATCATTCGGACTAGATGACTGAACATGACGAGGAAATGGTGGTGGTTTTGCAGACACAAGAATAATACGATCCAGTTCATCGATCATCTCGCAATCTCGAGCTACTGACAATGCAGTCAACATATTATCACCTAAATAAGAAGGTTGAATGATGAGCAACAACGCATATTGTCAATTCATATTACCAACAAACGTAAATTGCAATTGACAAGAATTATTAATTTATGAAGGTCCATTGAGTCACAAAAATTGAAAGAAAATCATGTAAACTATTTCAGTTTAGTTTTTATTACGTGAAAAACTAATTTCAGAGAGATATTTATCGAGAAAAAGAAGCAAAACTCTAATACGATTATTCAAAGAAAATTATGAAACGGTTATGCAATACACTTGACTTATTAACTTAAACCTAGATCAATAAAACGCTTTTTAGTTTATGAGATTAAAGAGAACGTGATTTCTAAATAAAATGACGTAGTAACGACTACATTTTGCAGTAACCTCAAATGAATCGTGACACTTTATGATTATATTCACACTGTTAAAATCATAAGGCAACTTAACGAGAGATACATTCATATAACAAAGAACAATTTTTATGTTCTTCCACAGTTTTAGAAATTAGTGGGTGAAAATACGGATACATCTGAGACATAAATGTACAAGATTTTAAAAATAACTCTTTTGGGATTTCATAAAATTTTCATAAAAATAAAAAGTAGAAATTATTCAAATCGCATTAGTCAACCATGTTGTCTGTCATACAATGTGTTCATGGTAAGCGGTAAAAACTCCGGTAAAAAAGAATTTGAATTGTCAAATTTAAGAAAATGTAAATTAAGGATGAAAGAGAAATCGAAATACTAATGAAGCTAAAATTAATGATTAACAGATTCCATAAAACTATTCTTTAATTACTAGACCTAATACGAAACTAAAATTGTATTCTTAAAGGTCAGACATCAAAGTAAATACTAAATAATTATGTAAGCGCCTATTCTATTGAATCATGATTAGTAGGAGAGGTGAAGAAAATCTAGAATATTTTTACACCTCTTTCAATTGTTAGTTATTGGGATAAGGAATCATTAAGCGATATTGTTAACGTGATTTGTCAATGGTTGTCTGTTCAGTCGTCCCAGATGCATTAGTTCACAGTAATTCAATAAGCATATTTGAGATTATTATCTAACAAAATAGTAGTGACTGACAGTGAAAATTCACGATCTTTTGCCAGTAACATATAGAACTACTAGAAATTCGAACTAAATGTCTGTTTAGTCTGTCATCGACTGAATCCAGTGATATTTCACATACTAATCAGATTGGTAGCATTAGTTTGGAGTTTTCTTCCACATTAAAGTGACAAAATCATATTAAATATTAATTCAAATAGATCTTTTGTTCAATTGTCCAATGTTGATGTTTTAAAAGTACGGCTTAGCGCTTCACACATAGAATACATTATTTATAGAACGTTTGACAATCTTAGTACATCAAAACAAAAAACCTCAGTCAGTCAGCTACAACGTAGGACCAGGCACATATGTGCATCCGTCCAGGTTGCCATACCGCATCAGCACAACAAGATGAACACCGGATTCATAGCAGTGGTTAGGTCAAAGGTAGTAATATGTAAGAGAAAGATTGCATATAGAGATATAGTACAAGAAGAAAGAATTGGTTCGTAGAAAGAAAGATATGAAGCAATTTTAATCTCTTAGTTTAAGGGAAGACAGGGAGTGTATACACCGACGCCATTGTGATCGATTCTGAGCCATGTCACCAAGAGTCTCCAACCATTGGTTACGATAGTCACGCGGACCCCAACCAAGTAGTCTGCATCTACCAACATGGCTCAGACCAGAAGTTAGTGACTTCAGGCACTGATGCCACGTTTTGGTTTGGCCGCCCCTAACTTTTTTCCAACCAACCCCTACACCGGTTAGCATTGCACGTCGTGGTAATCGGTGTTCAGGCATACGTAATACGTGGCCCAACCATCTCAGTCGATGAAGATTCATAACCTCATTAACTGATTTACCATCATTCCCTAATACCCTGCGTCTAACCTCACTATTACTTACCCGGTGATCCCAGCAGACGCCAGCAATATTTCTAAGGCATCTGTGGTCAAATACTAATAGCTTACGAGTGTCTTCTACTCTTAATGGCCATGTTTCGCTGCCGTAAATTAAAACAGAACGGACTGCCGCGCAGTATACTCGTCCTTTTATTGATAGACGGATATCTCGCCTTCGCCATAGGTGACGCAAGTTGGCAAAAGCCAATCGAGCTTTTCGAATCCGTGCTGACTCTGCATTTTGTGAAGACGCTGACAAAATGCAGAGTCTTCTGGTAGCACTGAGCAACAATGCCAGGATGTTTGGAATGCGCTTCTCTCCCTCTAAATGCAAGTTGTTGCTTCAGGACTGGTCTGCGTCAACACCTGAACTAAGGATAGGGAGTGAAGTAGTCGAACGCGTTGACAACTTCACTTATCTTGGAAGTCTGATCAGCCCTAATGGGTTGGTATCGGACGAAATCTCACTAACTAAATCTTGGCGTTTGATCTTTTTTTTTCCTAGTATCAATAAAGTACTTTTTTTCTTCAGTTTTCAGTGTATGCTTTATCTTCAAATTATGAACCCTTTTATTTGAGGAATTATGAGGTTTTTTTGACGTAAACTGAAGAAGAAAAAAAGTACTTTATTGATACTAGGAAAATGATCAAACGCCGAGATTTAGTTAGTGATGTTGCAAAAATTAAAAATAGCATTTACACCAGCTACATATAAGACATATATCTAATGATATACTGTCGACTGATTTATTTCAAAAAAATGTTTCTGAACATTATTCAAATGAAACTAGATATAAGATTTTCAGCCAACTATGAGTTAACGCCAAACAGTTGAAAATGAACTTAGAGAGAACGCTATCCGTTGTAAGGATTGAAGTGGAATTCTTACTGTTTAAAAGATGAACAATCTCAAAAAGAAATTAAATTTCGAGATATATCTCTTTTTTTTAAAATAACAATTATAATCTGTTATAATTTATTTATTTTAACACATAGATATTGGTACAAGGAGGCACCAAATACACATGCGCCACACAAATCTCATTCGACATATGTGAGGGCTGTGATACTGCCCGGGTGCCCAAACCGAAGCAGGTGGTTTTTTTAGGGGGCCACTCCCTGAGCCTTCGACCATAAGGTCTGATCCACAAGGTCGTGGAGCATCGTGAGGAGCTGTTATAAACAGCTGAGTAGATTGCCACTTCCCTTCTGAACCATCATAAAAGATTTGAAATTTGGCTTCATAATAATTTTCTGCGAACATTGATTAATGACTTTCAACAAAATTATAAATCATTCTAAATCACATGTTTACGAATATTTTACAATTAAATAAACTTAATAATGAATCTATAGAATGCTACTGTTATGTATATCCTGTATATTATTGTCAGTTAAGAAATTATTGCGAAATTGATAACTGAGATAAACAAGATGAAAATGATTTATGATGATTATTTTCGGTTAATCTAACATCTTAACATATATGAAACTCCAAAAATGGAATAATGCGTCTGAAAATATTTATTATTCCATAAAACTTGAAAAAAAAACTGTTGGGATATTCAGAAAAATATCCCAAAATTATCCTGTTAGGTCTAATGCTATCCTTGAACGTGAAATGGTGTCAGTTTCTTATTGGTCAATATTGATTTCATGTATCATTTTCCTGTTGGTGAGTATTCACGGTAGTCCTAACTGTATAAATATACATTTGTCTGTAAATTCTTATTCTTTTTCTGACCCCATAAACAATTTTCATCTACGGTTCGTGTTCTGATATATTGGAGATTGGGAACAGTAATGGGGTCGTACTGGGATATCTGAAGTTGGTCAGTCGGTAGAAATTAGAGTAGCCACCCGCAGTCCACAATAAGATCCCACTTTAGTTCATTTAGATTTCACACTTGCATAATATTGATAATTACATTAAGAAATACAAATTACAGTCTATAAAGTTGCTTCATTACTAAACAGTATCATAGTATTCATCGTAAAAATCAGTTAAGGGTATCAGTTTAATAGAACCTGTTGTGACTTATTCAGAAACATACACTGGATGTTCTATTACTACTAATGGTCGTACAGATGGTCAAAGGATAATAGTTATGTTGTAGTGAACGAAAATGCAGGTGGAGGAAACCAATTTAGTGTTTAATTCAACATCACATAATGACTAACCAAAATAAGGAAATCTTATCTTAAATACATCATTTGCATATCTTCTTTACATTGCCATCTACATACTCCATTATTCCCCTAATTGTCTTGTTATTTTGATTGCTTTCTGATCTCTTCATTTCAATGTTCTGCTACCAGGCATTCCACTTCCGGTTAGTACTACATACTACTTACATTTGTCAGCAAATGTAGCATACACGACAAGATTATTGGTAAAAATGAAACAGTTCCAGTGGCACTAACAATATACAGACCAATTTAAATACATCAGATAAGTCGAATAACTAACATACATAGACGATTCAACGACAGTGCAACCGAATACAAGTGGGAAATAAAACTGTCCTAGATAAGGAATTTCTAAAAATAGAAACATCATATAAACACTGATCATTAAGTAGATGGGCTTAAGAAGAATGTCGAAGCCAAGTTGTTTGGTAGCTTTTCCGAATAGCCCAACATGGGAAACAGAAGACAAAGTATAAACAAAATTAGTAAAGATAATAATAATATACTATGATGATGATCCGTATATATACAGATTCAGAGTATACCAAGTTTAGATTTAATGTTTACCTATATAAGCTGTAGTTACTAACTGTTCGAGAAAATAATCTAGAAAAGACCACTTCCAAAAAAAATCATATTGAAAATGAACACATCAATGAAAACGAAACATACCAGTTACCATTACAGGTCGAATATTGGCATATCTTAAAGTTTCAATCACTTGAGTTGTTTCCGGTTTCAAACGGTTCTCCATAATCAATAGACCAAGAAATTGTAGATCTTGCTCAACACGTTCCCTAGATACACGTAAAACTTTTGTATAGGTTGCTTTCAATGGTTTCCAAGCTAATGCTAAAACTCGATAACCTTCACGTGTGTATTCCAACAGAGTAGAATGGAAATCCCTAGGAACTAAAGAATAGAAGAAAACAATAACTGAAGTTCCCTAACAAACACAACTGATATGTAGTTTTATCTATACGTTCAATTAAAAGACGGAATAAATTGTGGGAAATTTCGATATGATATTGATATATGTTTAATATTTTTTTGGAAAACATCCAATATGAATTTCATCTGATCTGAAAATGGACACTGGCATATGATATGCTCAGAGAAGCTAAATATAAAAATATTTATTGTGATAAAGTTGTTTGTTTCATGGTTAAAACAAATAAATTGATTATTACCCTGAAGAATCCCAGACAAGTTAGCTGGACGAAACGTTAGAATTAGTTAAATTTTAATCGCTGAGAATATTTCAAATATAATTTTCACATATAAGGACTTCTCTACACTCGGCGCTCAATTACTGTCAAACTATTCGTTCTAATCTTGACGAATATTCGTATAAATGATATAATAGATGAATGAAAATCAAATAACAAACCAATAATAATAATAATAATAACAATAATAGTAATCTATACCAAAGAGAGCAAGAACAAAAAATTTGACAGAATGAAATGGTTACATATTATTCTGTTCAACTCTTAGTTTTTAAAGAAACTAAGTGTATGAAAAAATCTGTCCGTTTGATAAGTGGTAAAAAAATTTACCGGTTAATTAAGTTGATTGACCCAATTAACTACAGACTATATTCAGTACTGATGAAAATACAAATGGCATAATGTTAAATAAAATTGACTTAATTTAGTTAATTTAACTGATAAACTTCTAATTATTAAAATGAATGATAGAATTTTATTGTAAACTGATACAAACTCGATAATACAAGGAGCTGGTTGGATCATGTTTAAATCATACTGATTTATTTACATCCAGAAGGTATTGAATACCAAATTTATACAATAATAATACAATTGTCATCTAAAATTTCTTTGCATACATATTAAATGTTTAAAGTGCAATAGCTAGATTAAATATTGATTTTTAAAAACCTTGACATTATTATGGACAAGAGGTGTCCGGAAATTTATCAAGTATAACATATAGGATTATTTTATTGAATATAATGAACAAATTAATATGCTACTATGCTTTTATTACGATGATGAAACGATTATTATTATTATTATCAGTGATTGAAAAAACTGGTTTGTGAAATTCACGCGTAAATGCTAGATTCTACTCAACAGGATCAACATAATACTAAAGTGTACGTAATTAGGCAAGAAAAAAAAGCTGAGGAATATTACTTTTTAATTACGATATAGTAAAAACACTAACTAGAGTTAGTTTTACGTATTAACTTAGTAGTAAAAGCAATTAGCTTTTATTCAATAAGTTGCAGGTCTGAACCTATGTTATACAAATTCTTTTATGAACACTGTTGTATTTTCACTAGCTCTTATACATGTAGTACACAGCAAAACTTATTACATAAACTAACAATTTGTAAATGAATTGTATGATTTACATCTAAAAATTTAAGCATAAAGATGGTATCAAACACTTTGCTAGTTGACGAAAACATATCTTAAAAATCAATGGTAATATCAGCTTAGATACACCCCTTTTGATTTAATAAACCAACAGATAGAATTTAACGATTCATACTAAATTACCAAGTAAAAACTGTTGTATGCCAGCGAAAAATAAATAAATGGTAACTGCTATATATATATATATATATATATATATATATATATATATATACCTTTCATTTGACCTATTGACTATTATACGATTTACCATTCTTAAGTTATTCTCCATTAATTCTTTACAGTCTCTCACATTCAAAGTCACCCTTGGCTTGATCATGTATAATTGTTATTTTCTATTTTATGGTATGATGCGGTCTGGTTTGCTTGTATATAAACTGCGTATGTCTGAAATACATGATTCTTACAGTAGAAGCTGATAACTGTACTTTGGATTGAACCGGCTGAGTTGGACTAGAAGCTACTATACAGAGGACCAATAAGAACTCAGAGTTGATTCAAGGCTGCTAGTGCTGATTAATGCGTCATTAGTTTAGCAAAGGGACAAGGTCATATAAGTCGATGTTCTAATCGGCGATTTAGCCACGTGATATTTGATGGGGCTTAGGACATAACACAAAATATTATAAAATCTGATAAATATTGCTGTTCTTTTATAATTTAAAAGAAACTTGATTATGATAATTATTTAACTGCTTTAAAAGAGTTAATACAACAAACAATCCTCGAAATAATCACATCTTAGAGAACTCTAACATTAGTTTGCCCAAAACATATGAAAAAGATCAATTGTTATTTCCTTGTTTAACAGTTTATATACTAGAATTACTGAGTTATTGATTACACAACAAGAATGACTGAGAGGTTAATTGCCTACAAAATCTATCATGAGAAAAACTTTAGTGATCAAGTAATCGGATACTAACTAGAGAAAAACTGAATTGTCACCTGTATACAATTTTCAATAAAGATACTATAGAATGATAGCATGTTGATTAGGCACACTATGAGGATGTATTTCTACTCATCATATCGTATATACTATAGAATTCAATATGTTAATGCTTACTTATTTATCTATACACAAATTATGAACAAATACAATACTCAATAATTAAATGACGAACGTGTTTCGAAACAGTGAACAATATATTCTATTATGTTGTCAATATCTGTTTCCAATCAATTGGATTATGGTTCACAATTATGCAATAGCTGATAAAATTAAACAACTTAGAAAGTTGTTTCGCTCATAATTGTAATCCATACGTAATTTCATTTTGAAGACTATGACTTATTGGTTAAATCAAAAGATATCAAACTTCCATCAAATCAACATAAGTCACTCAACATACAAATTATTCTTAAAACAAAAGCTAAATATAGTCGGCTATCTTCAGTCAGCTAATATCCTAATGTGACACATATAATGTCTAGTTACTTAAACTACCCGCCACATTGTACGTTTGATAGAATTCGGTCAGCTCTAAAAGACTAGAAAAACATAAAATAGATCCAACCACTTAGTGATCATTTAATTGTATGCAAATTAATTCAATATACATTTTTTAACATAACAACCAACTAGATCACAGTTGAAATTTACCAATCAAACAAGATGTGAACAAATACACGATCAACTTATATCATAATTTGACAATCAATAAATAATAATTCACAATATGAATGTAAGAATTTTATATTCGTATGGTTACGGTAATTAGTGATCTTTTTGAAAAGCGGCACATGTATGCGACAAAACAAGATAAAAAGGAATGTTATATATATGCATTAAAATGGATCATCCAAAACAATGAGCAAAAAACGTGATTATCATGTTTTTCACATCACTAACAGTTAAAATATGTAATACAGCGTAGTGTTTGAATATTTTTTTTTAAAAAAGTTAAAAATGAAAAACTTTACAAAACAATACAAACACTAATCCATTTATGAACAAACAAATACAGAAAGATACAAATACTTGGATAGAAACAAGATGTAGCAAAATTACACTCTTTTAAATATGTAAATTAAAATTAATTGAATGATTTGCAAATATTAATTAGTTAAAAAACATTGTAGGCTAGAATTATATATTCACTGCTGAATGTCAGTGTAAACTAAAAAATATCGAGTAAATTAGCACAGTTATTATAGTGACTGGAAGTAGTAGTAAGTATTGAATAATAATAATAATAATAATAATAATAATAATAATAATAATAATAATAATAATAATAATAATAATAATAGGTTGATTAGTCAAGAAACTGTATTTCAATATTATCACTGACCTACAAATTCTGTTGATTAGTTTAATGTTTAACATATTCACATGATATAAATAATACGGTATATGTTATGATTTCTCTCACATACGACCCAACGACTCTTATTGCTGAGTACTTTTGAACACTAGTTCATTCGACAAATCTCCAAACCAGAACACGGTTGATTAGGAACTTAATGATATACCAAATAACAAGGTTGGATGTTAGTAGGAATCACAGTAAGAAAAACGTTAGTATTGTAAGTAGCAATTTCCTACAGGTGTAACTCTAAGTTATTCTCTAGACTGTCGAGCACAGAGTCTTGGTGTAGCCAAAGTTAGAACAAGTAAGCTATTTGGCTTGATAAACTTTATCTGTTTCTAAATCATACAAAACAAACTGTTAACTATTAGCACAGAGAATAACAGAGACATGAATAACATACCGAACAGTAACTAGACGATAGGAAAAATGAGTCAACAAGGCAAATATTGTTTTACAATGAACATTGATGAATAAACAAGATATAGTCATACAAGGTCAAAGAAAGATAATGTGGTGGTGGGCGTTTCACCTTATCATTGGTGAGTTCGTTTATCGATCACACTTTACAAGTATATTCATAATTTTTACAAGAGAAGATTCAAGAATCTGCTCCAAGTACCAGCTAGCGCTGATTGATTAACAATAAACAATCAACGTGCAGCAAAATAATCCTGCACTGAACATGATTTAATCCATATATATACCAAACCCACTGCACCACCAAACATCGAAGTAACCCACACTGACTTTCCTATAGATATCACTATACCAACCATCGAGGAATCCAGCATGGTTACCAGACAAACCAAGAGTGGGAAAGCTGCAGGACCAGACAACATACCAGCTGAAGCACTGAAGTCAAACACAGAAATCACTGAAAAGACACTCAATGTTCTATTCAGGAACATTTGAGAGGGAAAGCAAGTACCGAAAGACTGGGAAGAAGAATACCTCATCAAGATACCAAACAAAGGAGATCTGAGCAAATGTCAAAACTACAGAGAAATCACACTAGTATCGGTACCAGGAAAGGTTTTCAACAGAATGTTGACGAACTGGATGAAATACTCAGTAGACGCCCAACTTTGAGATCAGAACATCGAATTCCGCAAAAATCAGTCGTGCACAGACTAAATCGCAATACTACGGATCATCGTTGAACAATCAAATGAATGGAACTCGTCACTTTATATCAACTTCCTTGACGATGAGAAAGCGTTCGACAGCGTGGATAGGAGGACTTTATACTATCTTCTTCGACACCATGGTGGACATGAGAACATCTTCAATATCATCCGGAATTCATACGACGGACTACACTGCAGTGTCGTTCAGGCACACCAGCTGACAGATGCTTTCGAAGTGAAGACCGGTGCCAGACACGACTGTCTACCCTCGCCCTTTTTCTTTCTTCCGGTGGTTGACTGGATTACGAAGACCACCACATATCAAGGGAAGCATGGAATACAATGGACAGCTTGCATGCAACTAGACGATTTGAACTTCACAGATGACCTGGTTCCTCTATCCCATACGCACGAACAAGTGTAGATGAAGAAAACTAGTGTAGCAGTAGCCTCTGTATTAACAGGACTCAACATACACAAAGGGAAAAGCAAGATCCTCAAATACAACACGGAGAACACCAACCAAATCACACTTGATGGAAAAGCTCTGGAAGATGTGGAAACCTTCACGTACCTGATCAGCATCATCGATGAACAAGGAGGATCCAATACAGACGTAAAGGAGAGGATTGGTAAAGCAAGGGCCGCATTCCTACAATTGAAGAACATAGGGAACACAAAACAACTGTCGACCAATATCAAAGTCATAATCTTTAATACGAACGTCAACACAATTCTACTGTACAGAGCTGAAACTTGGAGAACTACTACAACCACCATCAAAAAAGTACAGGTATTTATAAACAATTCTCTACATAAAGTACTAAATGTCCGTTGACCAGATACCATCAGCAACAACCTTCTGTGGGAGAGAACAAACCAGCTTCCAGATGAAAAGGAAATCAGGAAAGGTCACTAGAGGTAGATAGGACACAAATTTCGGAAACCATCAAACTGCATCACGAGGTAAGTGCTTATCTGGAATCATGAAGGGAAATGGAAAAGGAGAAGGTCAAAGAACATACTACATCGAGAATTGGAAGCAGACATCAAAAGGAGGAATAGCATCTGGAAAGAATTGCTCAGGACAGAGTTGGATGGAGAATGCTGGTGGGCGTTCCTCCACGAGGGGTAACAGGCGTAAGTAATTAAGATAACTTTCAATACTCTATTCTTCTGTTGTGGCATTGAAAAAAATCCATGCAAGCATCCTGATCGATTATCAATAGAATAACCTGTTATCCTCACGTTTATATAAACTTACATTATACAAATATAGATTTATCTCCAGTCAATTTTAAGATCTCTACAATGTATTCCTTTGATTTCAACTGAAATAAATTTAAGTCACTATCACTCAATCTAGTTTATTTTTAAAAAAATTGGTGTCTATTATTTATTGTGCATCTGGATACATTATGAACACATTTAAGCACAACAGATGTACACATGTCATTTTGCTTGTGGATTTTATAAAGCTACCACTAATCATGGATTTACCTGCCAATCCCTAATTAACATTTCTTAATCAGCAATGCAAATGATCATTTCATACATAACCAGGTAGGTATCATAGGTCATTAACGGTTTGTTGAAAGTAACAAGTATATATATATATATATATATATATATATATATATATATATATATATATATACTGAATGACAGAAATATCAAACAGGACGTCAAACACAATGAAAACATATTTTAATAACAAAATTTATGTCTGTGTGTATGCTTTAACCGAAGTAACTTGTGAACTAGCATGCTACTAGTTCGACACATTTGTCTTTTGAATACATTTTTATTAAAAACAAGTATTGAAAATTTGTCTACAGTTTTTATTAAAAATTATAAGTATATACACAATAAGTGACAATAAATTTCATGCAAGTCACATATATATTTCATGATTCAGTTTATAATGTATAACCTTTGACATAAAACTAAGCATTTAACTAAATTTGATATAAACATATGATGCTTGTGAATACCACAAATAAATCTACAAACATTAAACTCTGAATCGAACATTAATAGACACTTGAAACATACGAGATGATGAATTAACAAAAAACTATAGCGTTTACCATGTTTCATCAATAATAAATGAACGATTAAATATTATTATTATTATTATTATTATTATTATTATTATTATTATTATTATTATTATTATCAGAATGGGTTTTGTGGAGATTTTAGAAATTTCACAGATTGAAATCATGAGTCAGTTGAAGCTAGTAGGTCCTGGGTTCGAGCCCCGCGTGGTGCGGGATCGTGGATGCGCACTGCTGAGGAGTCCCATACTAGGACGAAACGGCCGTCCAGTGCTTCCAGGTTTTCAATGGTGGTCTAGCTTCAACTGACTCATGATTTCAATCTGTGAAATTATTATTATTATTATTATTATTATTATTATCACTACTGACTCTGTTTCGTAATTATAAAATATATACTAAAATTTCCACAAATCTCCAGTTATCAGTTACTTGTGCGATGTTTCAAATTGACAATAATTACATTAATTTACACGTTTTAAATGACCCTCATTTAAGTTCAGAAAATAAAATGAAATCTTAACATCATGTACACTAACCGGGTCTACCAATACTTCATTAAAAACAATTATCAACTGACACAAACATATTAACGTAATGTCAAGAATTTATAGTATTTAAAGTGAAAACAACCAAAATCATCCAAAGCTTAACAAGGTTCTTCAGTAAGAGACGCGGGAAAACCAGTTTAGTTTCTGACTTAGATGTGAATGTTCAGAACAAATAATCATCCTTTATCTGGTTCTAGAACATAGGGATTAATTCCAACACCCGAGAATAGTGTTTCTTAACTTGGGTATAGAATCCGACTTCATTGACTAAGAGGTTTAGTGGTAATGATGTTCAGGAGACCGATAAAATTAATCGAAAAAAAGCCAAAACGGCAGCTTAAGACGTTGGGAAGCATCATATCCAATCTGCATTCACTTAGACGTTTTGGCAGAAATATCTACAAAGTGAAAAGGTATATTTCACTTTTCTGATTGGATGACTACCTATACTGCTACTATGTTTACAAGTATTCCAGAACTTTCAAACTCAAATCGATTTGAAATGCTATAAATACACTAGATTTGGCGTAATAAAAGGAACCTTGGAGTAAAGCGTTCTTCCCAAATTTGGCGCAATTTCCCTTGTGTTCAAGTCGGTGTGTAGATTTAGCATGGAAGTTACTAGAAGAGCTCAGGAAGCGAGTGAACGATGCAATAGTTACGTACTAGGTAACCAATGAGATAACAAATTAGTTGATGAAAGTGTGAACTTTCATCACGTAAGATATTTATAACCTATCTTAAGCTGTCCAACAACTCCCTACTTCGATGTAAGATGTTGGATAGTATAACCAGCGGCTGTCAACATCGTCACTTTTAAAACGATTAAATACATTTTGTCACACGAATTCAAGAAACTTTCTTGAACAAGATTGTACACGCCAAATCATCTTACTGTACATAATGTTAATACCACTTTGGTATACATATTTATCATTTCGTCTCAGAGTGTTAAAAAAATGGTGTCGGAAATTGTGTTGATATATGTTTGTCTTAGGTTTAACGTTGAATATGACTGACCAGTTGGATTAACATTTAAAAAAATAATTCTTGACAATCTTCACATTTTACTTACTAGTATCACATCTGCACAATAATTCAATAGTTTCAGGTGCACCTTTAGTATAGATATTGAAATGATTTTGATTGAGAGCACGAGTAATCACAGACATACGTTGTAATGAAGAACTGAATGGAAATTGACGTAAAATACCCACTTCATATGGAATATCCTACAAGTGTGTGAAATCAGGATTTTCAATTTCAATAAAAAGCATTTTTATAGAACAGAGAAAAGAAGGAAGTCGTAATTTACTCAGCTGACATGCAACCTCAAACTCTAAAAATATTATAATCTATTGGAATAAGCTAATAATCCATCTATGCTTTCCGAACACTATAAATATTGTTTACCAAAACCACCTGCGTTGTATTCAGATATTCACTGTGTTTTAGCATTACTTTAGGTAATTTCATACCGTAAGTCTATAAGGGCAAGTAGTGACCATGATACCCAATTCCAATAAGTTTTAGGATGCCGAAACATAACAACAGTACTTGAAAATAAGTTCGATCACTAAAGAGCTAAACCATGAAACCGTATAAACGACCATTTTGTGAATACCTAGGCAAACTATGTCAAACCAGATACCTTAGTAGCAACAATTGACCTTCACTTAGAGCTTAGCATAGTTAAATAAAACATGATTGGAAATCTTTCTTAATAGAGGTGAAGGCTTCCACAACGCTACAGAAGTCAAGCCCCATATTGGTCTTTTACTTACAACTACACTGATTCAATCGATGGGAATCAACATTCAGCTTAAATTATAGTGAATGATGCCACCAACATTAAATGTCTCCATAGATGTATTTTTCAAGTACATCTTTATAAATTAGATTATCCAAAAACAAACCACAGGTATGTTGACTTTGCAGACCACTATAGTGCCACATGTATGTCTACTGATATAGGAACGTCAATGTATGTGGCTTTTTAAGACAATCAGTTAAATGGACGACAGCGAAAAATAGTTATCGTCGACATCCCTCCTCAAAAAGTGTAACATAATTGAACACCGTTACTAATCTATAAGTTATATCATACGAATTGCGATTTACAGGTTTTCTCTGCTGAAATCCTTAGTTTGTACATATCCCCAACAGACTTTCATGGAGTTTTATTAATCCAGTTTATTCTGATGATATTTCTAACACACTAAGCTGTCTTGTTTCGCAGTAACATTCAAAGTGTACATAAACAACGATCCTAGGAATTCATTATCATCTCGTTGCGAAAAAAGTATTCCACATTCAAACCTTCTTTATTTTCATGGTTTGGGACTTAACTGCAAAAAGAATATTCATGGTTAATTTTCCTAGCACGAGTACAATTTTGGTTTAGTCTGACTTTGCGCAATTTCAAAAACTTACTACAGGGTGATGGCGTGTCGTGAAACTGAATAACTGATGTAAGCCGACAATTAACTGATAATAAACGACAAGACAGTTCAGTAGAACAGGGCAACAAGGATCAGAGCAGTTGCTATGTCCAGCACAAAAATCAACACTACTCCACATTTTATCATCAGAACATATGTCGACTCTCTCTCTTAGGTTGGAATAGTCGGCATTTTATATCAAGTGTACAAGAAACGGCAGTGTAAATACACCAACCTAACTACATAACATAACTTACATCACCATTGAATTTTTCAGAAGTCTTTTCCGTCAAACTGGTTTTACTAGATGGACGTACGATAGCAGGGACAGCCATTTCAAATTTACAGTGGTCAGCAGCTTCTTCAATGAGTTCCTGACAAAAACAACACAAAACGAAAACGCGATCTACAAGCAATTTGTTTACGTCAATAAACATGTTGTTGAAGACCTATACACATACATCCTTTTAAACAAGCTTTTGTGATAATTTTAGAAAATACGCCTCAATATACCTAAATTAGTATTTTATCGAAATATATTTATTTATTTATTTAATGGATTTATTGAATATTATATTTTCGTACAGTATAGAATTCTCAATACAGAGTATTTCAACAAGTTTCTAACACAAAAAAACAGAAACAAAAACAAAAAGAGGGGAAAAAGGTTTAAAAAGGATCTGAAAAACTGTACAACTTTTCAAATAAGACATGTTTAGAATGCAGGTTATCGACTGGGTCAACTCTAACAACCTGTCCGTCACAGAGTATATTTGCTAGGTAAGGTATTATACAGCTTTTATACTCGCGTGCATGGATTTTAATGTAATTACGTCTCGTTCTACCAGAAGATATACAACGAGAAAGATAAGAATGAAACGGATGGTTAGTATCTGATAAAATAACACCTATCAGGAGTTTGAATGACTTTAGGTGTCTATCCACAACCATAGTAATTATGACCTCGAAAGATTCACCACACATCTTGCTAACTGCCTTCAGCACTCTCCGCAATACAGCAAAGTCTTTCCTCAAAAGCCCGGGAAAGAATAATGGAGAACAGTAAAGAATAATAGGTAATATGCAAGAATTGACAAATTGTAAGAGTAAGTGACGAGTAATCCCGAGAGCATGCAATCTCTTTATGTAGTAAGTCAGACAGAAAGCCTTCTTCGATAACAATAAAACGTGAGAAGACCAAGACAGATCAGAGGAAAAGGTGACACCAAGATAATTGACCTTCGACACTGTGTTTATCAAAGTCTCCAATGGTACAAGCATTATGGGATCTCAAAATGGTGTTTAGATTCCGTTCATGTCTCATGCTAAAGTTAACAGCTTGACATTTAGACGGATTAAGTATGATACCATTACCAACAGACCAACAATCAATACGAGACAAAACTCATTCATTTCTATGGGATGTAAAGAGGAAGAGATAGGCATACATACAGTGAGATCATCTGTGTATTTCACAAAGGTGTTTTCTGTGGAAGATGGTGGATCATGCAGAAAAAAGAGAAAAGAAGAGGTAAAAGAACAGCTCCTTGTGGTACACCTTCATGAGACAGTAGAGACTCTGAACACTTTCCTCCAAATACAGTGTACTGTTCCCTTCTAGACAGGTAGGAACATGGCCAGTTGGTTATCCAGCTGTCAGTGTTGACGCTGATTAACTTGTTAAGTAAACGTTGTCTAAGTTGATCAAAACTTACAAAAATGGTTTCAGTGGGACAACAAATATCAGAACAGAGTTTAAGGTAACAAGTGATAACATCAGTAGTGTTTTCCAGTGAGTCATCTGTAAATAATTGCCAGTTAGTCGTATGAAACATGTTTTGCAGATTTCGGATATTTTCTTCTGAGTAATTCCTATATTTTACTTTCTTGGTTTGATGTAAGAGTGTACTCTTCCCATGCTTTTCATATACTGTAGGTAGAACACGAATTATACAGTGGTTCGAGCTAGACAATGGAACAAGTTTACGAGTCGCATACAAACCCACATCATTAATGAAAACGAAGTCTAAATGAGCATCCAAACGAGTAGGAAAATCTACTACGTTTTGGTGATCTAGTGACGTAAGGAAGCTACAGTCACATGAATTGAAATCACCACATACAACTGAAAGTGAATCATTGAAGGCAGTAACAGCGAACTCAGTGAATTCATCAGCGAAAACAGATAGTGCAGATGATGTGCAATCTGGAATCACGTAGATATTGGTAACATAAACATATTTGTATTTATTCAGATGTTTTGGACGACATCTTAGAGTTAGACAGTCGATAAAGTCATTTGAAAACTTAAAACACACAAACGAAGATCGACACCAGTTTATGTTTATAAACGTAGCTACACCGCCACCACACCTCTTTTTATTGTTTGATCGATCCTGAAGATAAATTATGAAACCACGTAGTGATACTGGGCAGTCATCCTGTAAATCACTTAATCAAGATTCTTGAATTGTGATGACACCACAATTACGATACATATTTTGACTAAGTAGGAACTGCAGATAGTCCACTTTGTTGATTAGTGATCGGCAGTTAGAATTTAGAAGCTCGGGAATCGACATACGATTAATATTCATTCTCTTTAACGCATATTACCAACCACCACGATGTCTTTTATAGTACTTTTTTGTAACTTGTGCAGCGAAAGGTCGTAAGCTTTTCATAAAATCGCCTGAATAGGTTATGCGATTAATGGGCATAATGATAAGTTAAAACAAATGAAAAAACAGGTAACTTGTTGAAATGATCAGATGGCAGAAACAGGTAGCCCAGATATTCAAGCAGGCCGCCGTACATAGATGTACATTTGATAACTGTCAGAAATAAAATCCGGAAATTCAGTCTCTTATACACACATATCCTTTAAACAAGCTTTTGTGATATTTTAGAAAATACGCCTCAATTTACCTAAATTTGTATTTTATCGAAATATATTTGATAACTAGCGGAAATAAAATCCGGAAATCCAGTCTCATACAGTTTGAGAATCATTCTGTTGTATGTGAATCTACCACAAGGCTTAACAAGTCAAAGTTGTGGAATCTCCCTGCTTCAAGAATTTTCCAGTCAAACTGATTTTGAATGACATCCTGGTTTTCAATAAGTAGTAAACACACAAAAGATAGCTGAAACCATCGGTGGGGTCACAGTCAACTACGTTCAAAGTCGATCATTTTCCAAACCCTCATTCTGTCGGCGGGCACACACAATCAGAACCTTCATGCCTGTACCAAAAATATCTAGTAGGTTAATTCACATGTTATGATGTGCGAATCTTACAACAACCTCAAAGTAACTACGACATTTAGGTTTCAGAGAAGGAAAAATTGTGAGTAGAAAAAAACTAGAACCATCTACAATCCTTACCCATTTAGTTGACTGGAACATCTTTAAGTCCAGAGGATCTCCACACAGAACTCCTTCAATCAATGTCAATGAGTGACAAGTCGCTAAACATTCCATTAGAGGACCATTATCCAACTCTGATGGTTCTAATTCCGGATCTCCAAATAAACCATCTTCATAAGGAATGATACCCCACATATCCAAACCATCTTCCGTTAAAGTGCCCGTCTATTAAAAAATCATGAAAAAACGGAAAAGATGTATAGTTCATTTAGATCTCAAAGCTTATTTCTGAATAACTTAATACTTGATACTGACTTTCTAACCACTACCCACTCCACAAGATTTTCTTACACTTGAACACCATACACAAAACAACAGTCGGAAAGTATCAAAAGAACCTCTAGTTTCAAGGTTGGTCCAGGTACAGAAAATTGATGTATCTTCAGGTTTATGGATGACCTTAATGTTCTCAAAACATGTTTAGCTTAGTGTGGTGACATAATCAGTAATTATTTAGGCAGGATAAAACACATCACAAATCGTGTTCTGGAAACCTCGCGAATGTTTCAATTGAACGTCGGAAGGACAAAGTGTGTTGAGAGTTTTACCAGCTTCTAAGGGAGTTTCCGAGGAACTACTGAGGTTCTCCAATAAACACAATCGAGAAAAATCACATTAGCTTGTAACATCTAAAGGAATAACACGGTATCCAACATGGAACAGACATAAGTAGAAAATCAACCACTATTCTGATCCAATCCGAAATTCCAAAGGTAAACACAATCATTATTAGTAAGCAACATGAAAACAACTTACAAAACACTAGTGATAATATGCAAAATGAGTAGATGAATTGTTTTCACGAAACACTAAGCCACAAAAAATATCCAAGATATATATAACGGAACAATTGTTCCGTTGTACTATTTAAACTTGGATTAATTTAATTTGGTTATTTATTCTCTGAAGAAGTGACTTACACTAAGCCACGAAACGTCAGAAAATCCAATTTTCTATTCATTGGGATATTACAAATATTTTATTTTTATTTATCAATAATACATGTACGTTTATTCTTGATAAGCAGAAATGGATGGTAGCTGGCAGTGAAATTCAGGGCACACGCTTTGTCCTATTCGGGACTCGTCAGATGGATGTACCTGTATCCCAGAGTTGATGTACATTTCGCGACTCGAACCCAGTACCGTTCGCTTCAAATGCCTTTGCATTATCCACTTAGCTGCCGAGTCCTAATAACCACGGGCTTGTGCAATGAGGTGAAGTTGAATTCACCTTGTATTGGTTGTTTGAATCTTCGCATTGACGCTTAGGATTGTAATTGTTCAGTCACTTATCGTATATGCGCAGATTACCTCGACACTGTTATCAAGTCACAAACATTATAAACAGAGATGAATTCTTGAATTTTCTTTATTAAACTAGGGTTAATTTCCATTTTCTATCTTTTCCAATAATTATCCAATTCACTTTAGCACATTTTCAGGAGTATTTTTTTGTGAACCGGAGCTTAGTCGTTTCGGTAATGTGAAGAGGTGATTCAACTGATCATTATTTTTTAGTCTGTTAGTAGATGAAGTTTTTCAGATGCTGATGATTTTCATTTGTAAAGTACAATTGGACAGTGCACCCCGTTAATGAAACGATTAAGATAATCTGATAATCGATTTGAAAGTTTAAGTTTGGTTAATAATAGACATATATAGTTGAGTTCATTTTAGTCATTTACCAAAAAATGTCTTTAATTTTTCTCATTTTGTGTTCACATTATAAACACTAAGATCCTGATCAATCTAGCTAATTGAATGTGATTGTCATGGTAGCTGATATAGCTAACAACCCTTACATAACACTTTACGTAATATGACACAAAAAGCTAGCATATGGTATTAAAAAGCATATTTAAAAGAAAAGCAAAACTCAAGACAAAACAAAGTTAAAATCAACATTGAATAGCTTAGTTGGTTTCATTGAAATCACAAGTCCAACCTAGTTAGACCACCACTGAAAGAATGAAAGCACTGGACGACCATTTTGTTGTGGAAAGGCACTAATGAGGAGTACCATAGTGGAACGAAATGGCCATCCAGTGCTTCCAGGTTTTGAATAGTGTCTAACTTAGATCCGTTATTGATTTCAATGAAATTCAACAACCCCTACAACCCCATACCGATAGGTTAGATAATTAACAACTAATGGCACACTCAGGTAGTAACTACTCATTTATACACATTAGAAAGTTCATAGATACTACTGAAATTATGCTCTAGTATGCAGCTTGATACATGTATTAGGATTAAAATGAGTTAAGTAAAAAAAACTATATTTCAAGATAGTTAGTTAAAATAAGGTAATATAACAAGATCATAGTGTTGAATTGGTAGTCGTATCTTGGAGATAAATGGCAAATAAAGAAATAGGGAATAAGTAAGTGGCAAAATACACAGAATAATTAAGCATGAAAGATTTTTGAGGCGTCTGAAAGAAAAAGAAAACACGAGTGTCTAACTTGTACTGTGTCACTTACAATTTATTCAGAGTCCGATGTGAGAAAAACGTCTAGAGCAGAACGGTACAGTAGAAATAGGACAGAATAACTAATAATTACGTTACAAAATAAAGGATAGAACAACATAACCATACATAAAAGAACATCATCATTAAGATGAATGAAAAAATTAGACTGGAAAAAACACTGAAGAAATATATATATATATATATATATATATAATCATGTGGATATATTTTTAATAATTTGCATGGCTTCTGATTTCATACTTTCCATTGAAACATTAGATAATTATTATCGATGAGCATTGAAATAATTGAGAAATATGCAAAATGTAGAGATAAAAAACTCCAAGAAACTACAGTAAATGAAAAACCTATTTTTATTCAACTTGATATCAAAAGTGTTGATGTCACAGGGTCAATCAATATGAAACTACAAACTGCATTGACAAATACTTATGCTGCAGCTGGACTGATTGTCCTGTCCAAAGAAACATGTTTTTCAACACAATCAAAGGTCGATAGGTATCCCTTTCATGTTATCATCAACTGTGTATACATATTTACGTGCATTTACAAGGCAGTTACATTGGTAGATTAGGAGAGTCTACGTCCGATTCAAAGAACATATTCCGAAAAGTCTAAGGTCAAATGGATTCATTTCCAATCACCTTCGTATTTATGAGTACATCAATGTCTGTATTAACTCTGATTTTAAAATATTATAGGTTGCAAACAGAAGATGAGAATCTAACAAAATAAAATGAATTCATATTATTCTGAACCAATCTTCGTTCTTGCTCTCTTTAAGATTATAAAGGGAACTATGTATATCAAATTGAAATAATTATTGGTCAAGTTAGCTGTGTAACTCATTAAGTGAACATTATCAATTTTACCTATTAGTTTGCCAATTACAAGAACACTCAGTCAAACTACTAGTGATATATAGAAAATCTTTCAGAAAAACATTAGACTTCAGAGTAAACTAGTTCTATGACGACTAAAAAATACTAATAAACTGTGCTATGCCACACAAGGTTTCAACCTGTAATACAATAGTTTGAAGTTCTAGCTGAACAACTTGTTTACAGTACATGAACAGTATTGGTGTTTACAAGGATTACAGTTGCGACACAATCATATTGATAGTAAACTGTGATTTAATGACTTATACCTTTTACATCACTCCCCCTTATCTCCGACCCATAAAACCAAATAACATCATCTGCCATCAGTAACATCCGTAATCAGTAGTCTACCGGAAAAGTCTGAATTTCGTTATTTGGAGAAAATTTATTTAGCTGACGACATTAAGATAACTACATCAAATAGTCAACCATAAGCAATGTAGCACATCAAGCACAAATATGAATCGGCCCAACTTTACACACCACAACGACACAGAAAGATTAAATTAGCAAGGTGAATACCGAAGTGGTAGTAACATCAGTGGTAGTAAAAAATATTAGGTATATACAATACGATTCAAAAATAATTGGGGGATTCGTACAATAAAAGTGAAATAACAAAACTCCCAAGCTTGGTAGGAAATAATATCTTATTTATGTGTAGTACTAATACTTTCTAACCGATGAGACAGATTTGGCTTAACTGGTCATTAATTCAAGACCCCGGAGACAATTGAATCGAAATTCACTTCGGAGATAAATATAACAAGGACATATGTCGTGGTTTCCAACCTAATTATTTATTTAAACATATAAACATTGGTACAAGGAGGCACCAAACAGATATGCGCCACAAATCATCATTTGATTTGCGTGTGAAGGCCGGGATACAGCCCGGGTGCAGGTGGTTTTCTTAAGGGGGCACATCCCGAGTCTTTGACCTAAAGGTCTAATCCACAAGGTAGTGGAGCAACGTCAGGAGATGCAGTCCCATGGTAGCCGGTGGCCAACCATCGGCTCATACACCATTAGTTCCATCAGGATACTTTAGCCCATGTGCACCATTGGTTTGGGATCAAGGTTTTCTAAGTCCTCTAGATAGTCTCTCAGTGTCCACCAACCAAGTTAAGGCTCCGGACATTTGCTTTTCATCCTCTCAATTTCGTAAACAGCACCTGCGCCGCGAGAAGGCAGTGAGTAGGACTTCCTTGGTGGTGGTTGTATGCACATGGCCACTTGGGAGCATTTCGAGAGGGAGTGGTGACTCTCTTCACTCTCGGCCTCACCAGGGCATTTGGAGGCATTCCAATCCAACAAACCCTTTATCGTAAGGGGATTCACAAACTTAAATGGATTCATTCTTAAAGGTACACACAAACGGTCATAACAGTCACTCATATTAAACTCTAGAAACCCAGGTGAGAAATAATAATAAGCTGAAAGCAGCGAGAAAAGTCTTACTTTATCAAAACAAGCTACATTGATTACTCCACAAACATTGATCACGGTTGGATTGACACAAAAAATCCCATGCGATAGCAAACGTCGTTGAGCCAGAACAACTCCTACTGTCATTACAACAGGTAAGGCTGGTGGTACCACTACAGTAACCAAATCTAACGCTCGACGGATAATGTCACCAACACCAACATTAACTCTGATCTAAAACAACGATTTCAATCATTTGAAAAAAATTCATAATAAACACATTATATTCAGTTACATTTTATAGTGTCTAATACGCGAGTAATAGTGGAGACATCAAATTGGGTAATAATCAGTACTAAACTGAGAATACGTGCCACCCATATATTGTTTGAAGTAAATTTGAAAGTAAAGGGTTAAAAGTATCCAGTAAAAATAATTAATAAAATCCATTTCAAAGCGATAGCAACCGATAGTTAGAGACCTTGAGTGACATGGCTCAAAATCGTTTACAATGGCGCAGGTACATCCACTCCTTGTGGTCTCCAGAATTCTAATCTTCTGAATTCATGTTTCCTTTTTTTCTCATTCCAAATTTATTTCACTATATTATACTCCTTGTATAACATCTTCAAACCCTAATCTTTCCAATTACTGCTTATACTTTTACTACCTCTACCACTACGGAATTTGAATCAACAATTGTATTTCTGTGCTAATGTGATATGGCAACTCGAATTGATGTACGTACATACGTACAAAGTTCTACGTTGTTCCTGACTGACTGATTTGAAGGCTGATTTTGATCAGATGGTGAGCATGTAGACATCCATTCCTGCACATAAGTGTTAGAGAGATCCAGAAAACCTCGAAAAAAGGCAAAAAAAGACTGAAAACACTGAGAAGCATCCTAACCAATAGGTGTTCATTAAAAGTTTCGCCAGAAACATCTGTAAAAAGAAAAGTCACATGCCGAATTTCTGATTGGATGATTACCTATACTGCTACTATGTTTAGTAGCGTCCCATAATTTGCCGGAAACCCAAGGCCATCTGAAATACTAAAAAACACTAGATTTTCTGAACATAAAACGAATCTTTGGAGTAAAGTGAATCTTCCAGAATTCACGCCTTTTCTCCCGCGTTTAAGTTGCTGTGTAGATTTAACCTGGGTTTACTAGAAGAGCTTAGGAACTGAATCTGGTGTTCAGTTAGAAGACTTATCAATAAGATTACAATAAACATCATTCGTTGTCATTTTTAGCTGTTCCTATCATTTCTGACAAACATTATTTTCATAATTCGCATGTATAAAGCAGTAGGATAAGATGGTTCAAAAACAACGCAATACGTTGATGGGCTTATAAAATGGACACGAGTGAACGAAATTCAAATTCAGATAGAATTCACCTAATAGGGACCTATATTAGTAAAAGCCGCCTGTGAGCAACACTAAAATCTCTTAAAATTCATAAAACAAAGTTCACTGTCCAATCTTACAGTGATGAGACGATGTGAAAGAAGTACACAATAAGTGTACTTTATCTGAAGTAAATTTTATTCCAACGCTAATTCGTGGAAATTTTGTTCATTCGTACTTTATCCCAAGTAAACCCACAGTTATATTAAATCATTTTGGATACAATGAGTGACAAGAACATTTGTGATATAAAAATGCTTGTCAACAGAAGGACTTTATTCATTCAGATCTTAAATCATGATCTCTTAGTACCCTTTGGGTGAAGTTGACCAGATCTTTTCAAAAATACTGTGATAACCATTTGGAATTTTTTAAAGAACATAAAAGTACGACACCTAAAACATGGAATCCAATTATTCGTTATTACAGGTAACTAATATTTACAGCTGCTGTGTAATAAAAATGCTTCAACCGCATTTAAATCCAAAGCAGGTAATAAGAGGAGAGAATTAGATCTTTTGAAAGCGAGTGTCCAAAGAAGGAAAAAAGAACTACACAAATAAGTTCTTTGTAGTAGATTGAGTACCATAAGATGTGCAAAACAAGATAACATAAAAAGAAGGAGTATCCAATCAGGAAATAGCCAATGTCAATCGGGGAAGTATTGATTTAAGGTCATCATAGGTATCACCAAACGACAAAACAAAGAAAAAAAAGCCAGTTTGAGGCCTACCACGTAGAAGTGGTAAAAAGACACAATGTCAGATGACTTCAAATTTCGCCACCATATTCATCAAACAGGACTTTATCATCTTCATATGTAAATCAATAAAACTAGAGACTTTATTATAATAGGTTATCCACGTTATCCAAAGGATAGTGTCGTAGAAGCGATTTAATTACATGGCTACCATGGTCAATACACAATAGGTTAAACTTTACACAGTCCAACAGAAAATATATTTAAATCAGAAATTAAATCCCCAACTGAGCAAATTGTATTGAAAAGGTGGACGAGATAAGGAATGAATGGTGGAAAAGCATCAGTAACCAAATGACAGGTGAAAACAACTACACATTCTGCACAAAAACATCCCTTCTTACCATTAAGTAGATTGAAACTCCCAAACCAATCACAGCAAGAATAGACAAAGCAAAAATAAACCGGAGGGAATCTTGAGTGAATTTGAATTTTAGAGGTTTCGGAAACAGAATTGACCGTACAAGCTCACCCTTGACAGTGTAAAAGCCAGTGCGTGCAACAACAGCCAGAACTCGCTCATCTGCATAATTTCTTGTTTGAATAACAGTAGTACCAGCAAATAAAATATGCCGACCATGAACTTTGATATCGAATAACGTACCCTTTGATGGTGAATCGGGTAAGGGAATTTTGGTAACTGGAACACTTTCACCTTAAATAGAAAACAATATTATTTGGAAATACACTGGGGTTAGTATGGTCTTAAATACAAAGTCCAAAGTGAAAATCAATATGATCCAGTGAATTTCGAGTAATTAGAACAGCAAAGTATTCATAACAACTGATATAGTCGGTTTTTCAAATTAGCACTTCGTGTCAAGTCTCTGAACATGAAACATTATTTGTGTAGACAACACAAAAAACAAGAAAACAGTCTGTGAACAAACACAGTATCTTACTTCATTGTGTCTCACTGTACTAAACTGTTTAAATGATGAGCAAGTGGAGTGCAAATGGGAAATCATGTTTAGACTTTTTGATCATATTTGTTGCTCGGACGAGGGTACTTCCTGCTTATTTGTAGTAACGGAAATAAACTGAGTTCGCACCACAAAACACATGTGTATAATCCAAATACAGTTGCTCTTAAACCCAACACGGAAATTAATTTAACAATATGAAGTATTTCTCAAGCTCAAAAATATCCAATACAATTGATACTCCACGCACCCAGATACAGGAAACCATATCATTGAATTTTGTTTACTTCGGTGAAATCTCTTGAAGACTCTACACACTTTGAGTTCTCCTTTACAAAACTGTCTTAAGCTTATACAATAGAAATTTTATCATTGGAAAAATCGTCTACAAATGACATTAATTTCTAATACAATGTTATTCACCACATTACTGTAAGATAAAATAATGGTGGCTACTTCCATACAAAGTTATTGATGAACATCTCCAAAGTTTCACACCAACCACACACAGAGCAAAAACGATCTCGCCGTCATGCAAAAAACCACACTCATCTTTCCATGTTCATGCATAGATTACACTGCTTATTTTGTCACATAGTAGTTCATGTAAAACAAAAACATCGTCAGTGGTCAGTGAGACCTATTTCCTCTCGAACGACTTTAATGACGATGTATCCTAGTTCTGTAACAATATTTCCCAGTCCACAAAAATAAAGAAACACTATACAGATTATACATTTTGACGTTGGTACTCTACATAATTCATATCGTATCATTATCAACATCCGTAGTGTGACGACCCATAAACAGAGAGTGTTTTAAGGGATCGATAGGGAACCAACGAACAAGCGGTTACTGCACTCGGTTCGTAATCATAAGGTCACAGGTCTAAATCACATTTCAGTGTGGCCAGTCCCGAAAAACCAATACACCTCACATAAACACCAAAACTTAAGGTCGAGTAGTATGTGAATCTGTACTTTCTAAATAAGGAACACTATTATCATTATGATCATCATAATTATTATTATGGAGTGCTTGAGGAGAATTATGTAGAACCAAAATATATGAAATAAACGATTAAAAGGGATAAAAGAACATAGTTTTTTACAGCAATTTTCATATGTATTTGTGTATTCACATAAAATTTGTCGGAGGACTCAAAAGACTGAGTTAAGAATATGGTTGACATTACTTCACATATTAATGAATCCATATCTACAGTAACATTATACTAATGTGACTCACCGGTCAATGTACTTTCATTTACTATGCAGTTTCCTGCTAGTAAGATGGCATCACATTGAACCAGACACCCGTTTTGTGGAATTTCAATTATATCACCGGGAACTAATGAAATGGAATCCACTTCTTTGAATTCTGTGAAAATAATTATTTATGAGATATTCCTTCTCAAATATTAATAAACAAATGGATTATTACGTCTGAATATCTACTGTTAAGGGAATTAAAATAACCATTTTGAGGGATTAAAAGAACGGTTTATCGAAACTATACAATCAATATTTCATTTTTCTATTGTTTGTTTGAAGCTCCCCATTGATGTTTAACATTGCAATTGATCAGTTTCTTATTGTCATACGTGCATCCTGAGAGGATTGTCTCGATATTGCCTTAAGTCACATAAATATTGGTACAAGAGCGCACCAAATATATATACGCCACACGAGCAAAGACGGATAGTGGCTAGCAGCGGAATCCATACGCGCGTTTCGTCCTATTTTGGACACTTCAGCCGGATGCAACTATATCCCAGATTTGATGTTCACTACAGGACTAGAACCCAGCTACAGAGTCCCAAATAGGATGAAAAGCGCATCCTGGATTACATCACTAGCCACTATCCATCTTTGCTAAACAATTAATTAATTTTTGTTAAATCGTGAAATAGAGATATCACAAATCCCATGACTGAGTTCATCGTATAAGGTCATACTACTAGATAATGTGTATCTTCAAACTACGCATTATTCAAATGACTGTATTATGGTTAGGCAAAGAGGACATTTAACAATGAGGAAAGTCGCTTTGCTCTTATTACACAACAAAATATACTTTCCACTTCTACACAAATAAGTAATGCTCTTTTTCTATGTTAAATTTTGATAATAATGATTAATTTCTGACGTTTCCGGTTGGTCTACAATACTTTTGGATTAAGAAACGATTAGGGTACTCTCGAATATGAACAGTTCTGTTGTGGACCCACTAAACACAGCTGACATATAACACTTCAACAACTAGCCACTAACATAAAAAGATGAAGTGTGGGGAAAATTTGATATTCGAGAGGAACAAACAGAAATAGTACGACTCAGTGTAAATAGCGACAGCAAAATCCGACTTAAGGCCTCCTGATGGAGCTGCTGGACGGTGGGGGCAGCCCCGCTAGCCAACTTAGGCGGTCACAGAGATCGGGCCGATAACTCACTCTGTTGTATCTGATCAATCCTCGGTTCTATACTCTAGGCTCACTTTAGCAAACGGGCTACACGATGTGTATGCTTATGTATGAGAATTGTAGTTCTTGGACCTATATAGTTCAAGTATATAGGTATATGCAAAAGGTACGCATGAGGTGTCGTACAAAGGAAACGTTGAGCTACGAAAATGTCTGCCCTGTTTAGTAAAATCAACGGCCTAGCTATCAGGTCGAAGATAAAAATAGGCGTTAGCAAATACTAGGGTGAGGAAACCAACAACCTCCCCTGATAGAGTGCTTATGCTTATGTGTTTGTCAAGATATAATCGAGCGGTAGTCAAGGTGTGAATTATGTGCATATAATATGTAATTCAGTTTGGTGTAGCAAATACGTCTTCTTTGGAAGCGGTGAACATCTAGCTTCCCAGGTGGGCAAATATACCTGTGCATGCTATGGGATGCATGGGGTAAAACCTGTTACCGGTGTGCATGTAACGTATATTTGCTCATGTGGAATGTATATCCGCATGTATGCTATGTAATGAACCGTTGGAAGTCCATGTGTTAACTAGTATGCAAGTAGACTAAACATATTCAGGGCAAGTTAAATCGCACACTTCTTGTTTTTTTTGTTGGTGCGATACCATCATGCATGCAAAGACCCGTTGGGTGGCGGTCCCCACTAAATCACATTCACGTGGTGGGTTTGTGAGCCCCCAAAAACAGAATCCTTTACAGAAGGACTAGTACATCCACCAGAAAGCTTCATCAGTTGTTTCTGGCTGGAACACCAGTGTAAGTAGTAAAGAAAGCATAAAGTTGAAGCACACATAAAATTATAGAACTCAAAGTAGTGGTAACGAATCAGAGAAAAGCAAAGGTCATGCAAAGGATTTGATTTAAATAACGTACTCCCGGTTACCGTTACTAATAAAGATTTAAAATCATTAACAAAAATTGAGTAAGTTCTTGATTACCTTACATGAAAAATAGATAAAAATCTCATTGATAATGCTAATAATTCAAATTTACGAACATTGACAGTCAGAATGTCACATCGAACACAAGCACATCTTATCATTATCCTTGTTTGACCTGTTGTAAATATACTGGTGCAAGTATTCCTAGTCAGTTCCTACTCCTAGTTGATTAACCTCTAATACACTTCTACTACACAAATGAACTGACAAAAAGGAAACTTTTAAATGCGTTAGTTGGAAACCTTCGGTATGTATTCCTCACTTTCCAAGCGTAAGACATTCCAAGACTCATTTTTCTTAATACCAACATTAACAATAAGGAATGAAAAAGTTAAGCACATAGACCATTGCATTTACTTTAGAAACCACAACAGCTTTGACAGATTAGTCATCATTGACCATTTGCCAGATTTATGTCCCTTTTAAGATCCGTTAGGTACCTAATTACATTAAAGGGTAAGTATAATCCCGCCTTCTCCATACTATATACTAAAAATCTAAAACTACTGTTAATAGTGACACGCAAGTATTACGAATCTGTGACTGTATATATTCTTGTAGTACTACTCATGGAACTAGAAATAAGTTGCTTTGAAGGTGGGCAGAAATTGTCTAGGAAATCTCACTTTAGTAAACGAGTTTAGCAACCACAACTTATTAAGAAATCTGAGTTGAGTTACACTATATTTAAATCCCAAGTATTAACCTAATTTTGCGATATGTATTAGCGCGGAGCAACGACATTAATGATAGGAAAAACGGAGTATTTGATACACAAATAATCGGTCTAGTTTATGAGTAAAAAATGCTATAGCAAGGATCCATGATTCAAATAAAAGCTTCGAACTAGGAAATACGAGAATAATAAAACCATAATACTGAATAAACATGGAGTAAATAAATACAAGTAAAATCACTGAAAAATAGCTCCAAACGTTTTTCACCTCACAGTTAAGTCGCCTCTTACAACAACCATTATACACAATTGACGGTAGAGAGCTAAAAAAAACTCCCTTAAATTGAATACTTGGGACTAGTACAATGAGATTTGGGAGGTTAAATGGTATGATTCAGAATCTGCCACAACAGTTCCAATCCAAACAAGATTTATCTTACCAATCTAAAATAGATTAACACCCTTTGTTTCTGTTTTATTTTCTTGTTGACTTATATTCGGCTACTGCACAATAACGTTAGCAATCAGAAATCATGGATCGCAACAACCAAACGAAAGGAATCCAAGTGCAGTCATTATACAAGTCATGAAAAGGATTACAGAAAAATAAAATATGTGCATACCTTTAACCCCATCTTCCTCTCGATAAACGATTACAGAAGAGGATATACACATAGTTTCTTTAAGAGTCTTTTCGTTCTACAAAAAAAGCGTTTTGTTACAAATGGGGAAACGCAAGTATGCAAATACAGCATTATTAGCATTGATTCAAAACATTCAAATACAAAATTTTCACTGAGGAATTATACAACGTTCTATTAATTCACGATTCAATGGTGCCATGTGTGGATTTGTCACACTATACTGACTAAGAAAATTCACTGGATCTAAGGAAACGAAGGAAGAAACTGTTATTTGATAGTTACTATAAACACATACGTCCTGTCCTATAAATGGTCTTGCTTTAAATTAGAACATTTCAGTGTTTTTCAGATTCACACGCTAAAAGATAAGAGCAAAAATCACCCCATGAAACAACATGCCATGTTATCTGAATAATTATGATCAAGCTGTCCTCATCACTTTTATCAAAATCTTATGGCGAAACCGTTATGAATTAATTTATCACTTTGTAAAGCAACTCATTTAATCTAGTTCGAAAAACACCACGAACAAATCGTCAAACATATACACAGTTTAATATGTGGCGCAGTTTAGCCCTTGAATAAATACAAAATGAGAGGAATGGTAAGGATTTACGACCTCATTTACGAATTAGTACAACTGCTGAGATTAAATCAAACTTACATTTATTAGGCAAGTATAAAACTATAATAACAAACCTAACATAGATCGATGCCTAACGTTTTTGACTCACTCGACACTTACTGACTCTTAGATATCATTTCATGTGGATAGGTTATACTACTACTAGTCAGCTGTTCTTTCTTTTCGACTGCACGTTAATTGAAAATTTAAATGGAGATAACAAAGCAGCTGACTAGCTATCTCATTCGCACCGCTTGACATTATCAATCCATCATTATTTTACGTTCCTTTGACAATTAAATCATGCAAACAAACAGCTGAAACTTCCCAATAAGTAAGAAAAATCGAAGTGCTCAGCCCCAAACCACACTTATTAAATAATTTAATGATACTGCTTTTCTATCTAAACTACAGTAAATAAGATCGGTGAACAAGTAACGTTCTGATAATCAAAGCATTCTGTAAATCATTGGACCAATACATCAAAACAAGACCATCACTTATTAAAAACCGTTAGAATAAGAAAGTAGTTACTTACTCTACGTAGTTCATAAACCTGCCATGATAGTGACATAACTGAAATAACAACAATACAAGTAGCGTACGTCCAGTACTCTTCAGAATACCACAAAATACAACTGAATATTTGGAAACAGTAGAATGGATTCAAGCACTACATAAAACAAAGTATAGAAAAACTAAATGTGATATACAAAGCATAACAACTACGTATCCAGTACCCATAACAAAATCAACCTTCAAATTGTACAAAACTATTCAATGCGTAATCTGACCAACATACCTCATCAAGTAGTAGCCTGACAATTGAAGTAAGATTGATACTTATTTCATTCATTCCATACAACGCACGATTCATAAGGACTGTTTCGTTATTCAAAGGCTTAGAATCCAGAATTTCTTCATATGTAGTTTCATGCCAGCTCCTAAAATTCGAAAGAGACAAAATATTCTTTTCAAATTCCATTGCACCTAATAAACCCAATATAGCAGAAAATACTTTGACAACTTCTACACTGTGTTTATATATTAGAATATCCCTACTAGCTTCTTTCTATGCCAGTACCTATGAAGAGTTAACAGAGGTAAGTCGAATTTAAAGGTTAAATTTCCAGGGACTAAATTTCGTCCTTATGCACAATTGTAACTGTTCAAAACGAAGTGTAAGGAGTTGTCAACAACTGCCATAATGTTCAACACGTGACAGAAAATTCTATGACAAAATGAGTAAGTGGGCTAATACTAGGCAGTGAAGTATCTTCTGAAATGAAACCACAAGGAGTACTTGGTTAAGACCCAGTGACGATATTTTCCAAAAGCTCATGTAGGAAGTAAACATTTCACTAAGAAATGTTCACTATTTAAAATTGAAAAACTGGAAGGTAAATAAACTAAAAGGACATAGGAACTACCTTACATGTGCATCGATTTAGGATGCCACAATTCACATTTACTTAAGGTTTTGTTAACCGGATAGTATCATTAGTCCTCCCATCTAGAATGAGTCAGTTTGTATTATTTTATTTAAGAGATCTACATGAAGATGCTTCTGTTTACAGTCGGGCCTACGGAAATTTCCAAGTACGAACGATAAACTATTCTAGTATGAACGGGAACTAATGAGAACTTGACAGTACGACCGATAACGCCTCGACAATTGTCCTCAAACGAGGAAACCTAGAAAGAACACATGAGTGAAGATAATGCCTGGCATTTAACGAATTCAAATCTAAATTGGAACAGTGTGATGAATATAACAACAAAACATGACCTTAAGACAAGAAAGTAAACTTAGAGTGGTAGCAATTTGTTAGAGAACAACAATGATCGTGTAGAAATACAAATTAGAGGAAATTTCGTTGCGGTTACCGTAACATGAGAGAATTCAACATTTACTGACAAAAGCTAGGCAATTCGAGGTATTTCTGTCAAGATAAGGAAAGAATGTATATTCAGTTGAGACCGACTCCTAACCAAATGCTGTTTGACCAGAGATTACTATTCTCACACGGACCCAGATAGAGAAGCTTAAAACTCCCGACACCATCCGGACCAATGTCGTAGTTTTTGGAGTGGCCCGTAGCCTCGTTCGAAACCACTGCTTTACCAGTCAATAGTGTACGAGGTAGGGAATCGCTGGGGACACGTGAACCGTCTCTTAAACAACGCTTATGAAAGTTCACAACCTAAACGATTCTACTAACTTTACTAAGTGTTCTATGTTTATCTCCAGCGTTCCTCAGTTAGCGTCCTATTATATACAAACAACTATCGGAAACGTATGTGTCTTCTACATGTAAATCTAACTTTTTCCACTAGCCATTATCATAAGTACTTAGTAACTTGCTGACAAGTATCGTAAGTACAACTAATGAAGTCTGTTGTGCAGTATGATACATGGTTTGGAAACCGAAAGTTTCAACACATAGTTTGGAGTGGAGCTTTAAAAGACAGCGGACAACATCTTGTAGGCTCGAATCCTTACCATGTGAAAGAAAATTATGATGAAAAATTTATGGTGCTGAAAATCTGTGCAGCACATGGTGTGCCATTTTAGGACCCACTTTTTTAACTTTCATGATCCAGTAGGTTATGCTCAACTTACTGGATGACACAAATGTGGGTCGGTCCGAATTGGCATACCACATTGTAACAACGAAATGAAATAAACAAAACAAATGTTGGAGGAAGCGAAGCAAGGCAATAGTACTGGTTGTGAGGATTGAAGATTAAGAGAATAAGAATGCATCATCTCTGTAAATGCTGGATATGGAATCGTTAGTCAATTTTAAGCAATACAAAACCTGGCGCGTACGTAAATAGGTTCGAGTTCCTATGCGTTATCCGTACAACAAGGTGAAAATATCAGAATAAGTTCCAGAGCAGCAGTATACTCGCCATTTGCCTAGCAGACAGAGATCTCTCCTAGCCCACAAGCGATGCAAGTTAGCAAAAGCCAACCAGGCTTTCTGAATCCAAGCCGATATTTCTTCATAACAACCCATCGGAGCTGATAAAACTCCCAAGATGAGCATAGTGATTGAAAAGCTCTACTACTTCCCTTCCCATCATTAGCTCGTGTTGATGCAGAACTGTCCTGAAGCAATATTTTGTATTTGGAGAGAGAACCTAATATACTTGTAATGATTCTTAAGATCAGAAGACTTAGCATTTAGTGTCATCACGAAAAGGAACGATGTCACCTACAAGTTAATTAGTCAATTTCATGATAAGAGATCAACCTTTGCGAAGTTAGATGAGTGTTACCTCAAAAAATGTCTACAGCAAATTTAAATAGAAAAAGACAAGATGTGAGATTTGTTGCTCAGTGTCTAATCGCTATTAATCGACTCCATTAGCATCTAAGAATGAGAGGTGAGAAGTTTTTCTGTTAATATGTCTCCATAAGTTAGTCATGAATGGGCTAGAGCGCTGAGATAATATAAAAAGGGCATGACATAAGACCTGTAATCAGTCGGTTATATACATCGTCTTGCTTGTATTAGCACAATTCAAAGTTAATGTCTTTTTGACGTAAAAACGTTCTAAAAATTCGTCCAGTTGCATTCCTATCTAAGTACAATTCAACGATTAAATCACCGAATTAACTCTATCTAACTTCCAAAATACATATTAGGAACCTGCATAATAAAACTAAGCCGTGGATTGTTTGTTTGACCAATCAGATAAGTAATAATAAACACCATAAGTCTGCCAATTCATTCGGAAGAATGACTAACCACAGAATTTTAAAAATACCTTAAAATAACCGATTGAATTAGTGTAAGTCAAAACATGAAATAACAAGAAACGCCATATATTACCTAAAAATTAAAATGTAGATGTAAAGAGAATTACGCCTGACAAAGCAGTCTTCCCATTTATTAACACTAGCTGGCTTTCAAGTTACGAAATATTTTAGCTTAAATAAACGTACTCAGGCAATTAAAGATTCAGATCCCATAGGTGAAATTCGAAATCCTGAACAGAAGAGAAATGAAGATTAGGGAATTTTGACATCATGTCATCAGGCAACTAATAAACGTCGAAATTGAAATACATCAATTAACCGAGAAAATTGTAGTCAACAGTAAAATCATGACTCGTGTTAAAAGAAACAATTACAAAAAATATGAAAACCATGACAAAACAAATGCCGACAACTGTTCACTTATTTGAAGATTCGAACGGCTCGATTACTTTTGAAACCTCGTTTGATGTCTAGCAAGACAAAAAAGACTGGTAAGTAAACCACCTAGCCCAAAGAATGAGGTTTCACCATCTCACTGTTATTCGTGCCAAATAAAACAGGGTGTAGACCGACGAACTATTCGAGGGAAAAGCGCTTTAACAACTAAACGTCTGGTCATTGGAGTGAATAGATAATACAAATCGGTAAGCCATACATAAGTTATACGAAATGAACGTGAGATAACGTTAGAATTAACTTTACCTAATGAGCTCGAAACGGTGAGTCTCGCCATTCCATACGTACTTTAAACATTTGTGAATGAAATAACACATCATCCTACCATCCTAAAAAAAAGGATTATTATAAATCTTTACTAACGTTCTCAAGGCTCATCATTCGTGACTTCATGAATGACACAGGCTTACGGACGTAAGACCTCCTGGTATAACTGTTAGAATGAGTCAGAACACACAAGTTTTTCTTACTTCACTCCTTCAATAACGTCAACGATCACATCATGTATGTAGTAAACACCATAGATATCCTACAAGAGAAATTTAACCACGGCTCATATCTTAAGTCCCAGGATCATGCATCCTTAAGGACTGAAGATATTTACCTGAACGAGAATCTTCTCAGCCTCCATCAAAGCACACTTATTATACATACACATCAGCATCCAGTGAGGAAACCAGTGAAAAACTAGTCTCAACAGTCCGCATGTTAGAACGAACCCAGTGTACACAAAAGTGGTCCTCAAGTGGGAGAAAGAATAACCCGTAATATCCTTGACGTAAGAACATTGAAGGATATGTACACCTACCACCAAAATATCGTCAAGTTCGTCAATTTTTTGACGTTTACCACCCTGGACCCAGTTTTCCACCTTTTTTTCGCCTGGCATAAGCATCCAAAAATTGATTCAGACGACTTTTATTGATTTTATGCTAGGAAACCATGAGGTTCGAAGAGTACCAAGTGCGAAATAGCCGCGAGAACAGACTCATGTGATAATCCCAACGTTGCGCACTAATACAAAACATAAGCACCTGAAGCGTCCAATATACAGTTGCCTGAAGTTCAATTCCATCTAGTTTCAACATACGTGTTCATGAAAGCTTTTTAGATATCTAATATACTTTCAAACTCAAATTGATCATAAACGTTGTGAATAATGCTAACAATACACTTTTCAAGACAATGAAGCTAACCGATTTGGGAAGTAAGCGGAAAGAGCAACAACATAGAATTGAATGAGATAACATACATTCATTTCACTCTATTGGGTACTCATCATTTTATTACGACGAAGCCTAATAAATGGATAAATACGATCCATCGTATCACTAGGCAGTTATGAGAATAGGTATATGAAATTACTATTTAGATTTAGGTTCAGATTTGTGTAGTAAGAACAGAAGGTCTACAGCCTATGCTATTTCATTTCTAGTATGCTTCTGTGGGTGCTCAATTGAAGGTGCGGACATCACCGCTTCATGAAACAAGTTCCAAGAATTGACGACTCGTTGTGAAAACCTGTATTCCACGGGTATCTTATTATTTCTTGACTTTCCTACTCGTCTTCTATGTCCTCTGAGATGTCCCGCTCTAGTGAGGGGAAGAAGAGCGGATATATCAGGTTCAAAATCATTTCTTAGTACTCTACACACCAAAATCAGACCACCTAATAATCTGAGATAGAACGGAGTACAGGGGTCTAGTTTCTCAAGCCGCTCTTTGTATACTAAACCACAGAGTTCAGGAATAGCATGCCTAGCTGCCCCTCTGTACTTTTCTCAGGATATTCGAGTCACCTTTTAAACAGGAGCTTGCGGCCTGAACTCAACCTTCAAGATTACCCCTCACTAAGGTTGTATATACTGCATTGAACACAGTAGTATCTAAGTTGGTGAATGTTCATTTTAAAGCTCATACGCTTTCAAACACCTAAGCTGCAAACCCCCGGTAGTGGGTCATGATCATAAGATCATGACTCACCATCACCCCAAGATTCTTGTCAGACAAAACCACGGGTACAGGCACTTCCACTATGTTGTACCTGTTTACATTCGTATCCCCAAAGTGCATGTAGATGCACTTTGTCATGTTGATAGATATCAGTCACTCTTTAGACCGGCTAATCAGAATACATAAATTTATCTGAAGTGTGAATGCACTATAATATTCGAATTATCGTATGAACTAGGAATTCCAGGATTAACGCAATTGAATTAAGAAGACACAGGCACAACGAATGTACTGTATTTATAATTCGAAATCAAACAAACAACCAGTACAAAGGTATCATTGGTTCATTCAAACACCACATCCGTCACAGCTTAAATTGGAGTCTAGGTGTTTGTAATCAATCGTTCATCTTCTCCTCAAATTCATCCTGAGTCTGTCTGATATTGTATTGGATAAGGATTCTGTATTACCTAGAATATACTCATTAGCATTAGAATTAACAACCGAAATTGGAACTGACTCACCTGGTTCCCGAAATTGTATTTGATCAACATGTTGACTGTGTGTACTTAAGTCGTTGATGTCTAGAACTCGCACCATCGATTTTCCGACATTCTTCAGAACAATACCCGTAGATGATCAAAGATCATTTCCTCGATAGTATGTAACTTCTGCAGACTCCAAACATCTCATATTCGACCGAAGAATTCTTCCTTTCAATAGTTTCGCTGGAGTCTCCTTCGTCACCGAATGTTTGGCATTTCTATATTGCAATAGAAAGGTATCTACTCCCCTCTCCAGCTCATTAAATGTTGAGGCGGCTATAGAATCAATAGCAGTCTTTAATGTCCTGACAAAATTCTCTGCCTGACCATTAGAACACGGATGTCTGGGAGCAGTAAACAAATGTTTGCACCCTATACCGTTCAAACAGGTAGTGACTGCATCTGCAGCAAAGTGAGAGCCATTCTCAGTCACTAACACCATGGGAACCCCTCCTCGACTAAACACCTTTCTTAATGCTTGTATTGTGAAATCAGAATTTGGTGAAGTTGTAAAAAAACTTCAGGTCACTTTGAAAAAGAATCAATGACTACTAGTGCATAGTATTTACCAAGAAACGGACCACAATAGTCAGCATGAATCCTCTGCCAGGCCTCAGACGATACTGGCCATGGCACTCACTTAGAAGGATGATTTTTCAACTGACGACACTTCTCACAATTGTTTCCCGTACGACATATATCCGCATTTATCTCTGGCCACCAACATGTGAGCCTTGCCAAGGACTTCATTTTCTCAACACATGAATGACCACTATGAAGATCTTCAATAACAGATTTACGCAATGAAGGAGGAATGACAGCACGATCATTTAAACACAGAATACCATCAGGAGTAGTAGATAGCTCATCCCGCTATGAAAAATAGATAGGAAATCTACGTTTCAAATTAGCATTCCAACCTTTCCTTATAGCACTGAGTATACATCCAAAATATCTACGCGTTTCTCTCATGAGATCTGAACGTCTCACTGATAAAGGTTGCACTAACAAACAATCCGAAGTATTAATAGGCTTATCTTGTAATGACTGTCGAGAAATGTAATCAACACGTCTAATCTGTTTGACACTTCTGTGCTGAACCGTATAGTCATATGCACTCAAAGCAATACTCCATCGCTGAACCATAGCTGCTGAGGAACGTGCTAAGGATTTTTCAAGATGATAAATAAACTTTAAAGCTTCATGATCAGTAACAATATTGAATTCCTTTCCGAATAAATATTTGTGAAGTCTTTTAACAGCCCAAAACACAGCTAATGCTTCTCGCTGAGTCTGTGAATAACCTTGTTCAGTAACAGTAAGTTTGCGTGAAACACAAATAACTGGTCTACCTTACTGCTCCAAAACTGCGTCAATACCCACAGGTGATGCATCAGTAGTAAGCGCAGAATGTACACTAGGGGAGTAGATTCGAAGAACAGCATCACTTTGAAGAAACTTCAGTAGACTTCGTAAGCATAACTCTTGTTCCTCACTCCATTTGAATGAATTCGATGTTAAAATATTAAATAAACAATTTGCACGACAAGAAAAATTAGGAATAAAACGGGAATGGTATTGAAGAGCACCCACTAGTGAACGTAATTCTGTAAGATTTTTCGGAGACGGTGCATTAGTCAGTGGAGCTAGTCGTTTCATATCTGGTCTAAAACCATTCCCATCAACTAGGTATCCAAGGCATTCAAAACTAGATACACAAAATAAACACTTATTTGGATTCACTGTAATATTCTTCTCAACTAAGCAACGCAATAAGGCAATAAGTATCTGGTCATGAACTACCTTATAAGAACCATGAACAATGAGATCATCTTGATAAACTTCAACACCTTCAAGATCACTAACTACTTTATTCATAACTTCCTGAAATATGACTGGAGAACAACCTGGACCAAATGGAAGGAAATTGTATTTGAACAGACCAAAAGGAGTGTTAATTGTCGTCAAAATAGACGAAGATTCATCTAAAGGAATTTGAAGATAAGCATCTTTTAGGTCAACTTTCGAGAACACTTTAGAACCGTGAAGTCGATTTAGAGTATCTTCAGCTTCTACCGTCGTGCACGTTTGCTTCAACAAACGAGAATTCAGAGTTAATCTATATTCACCACAAATTCTAGTGGTCTTGCCGTCCGACTTCAGTGGCGTAACGATAGGAGTACCTCATGCTGAAGACTGAATTGGTTCAATTATGCCTTTCGCACACAAATCGTTTAATGTTTTGTGTATTGCTTCTCGACGACCATAAGGAATTATTCGTCTTTTAAGAAAGACTGGATCACTCTGTACTTGAAGTTTTATAGGCTGAATTTTCATACCTCCACTGCACTTAGCACAAATAGCTATCGAATCTTTAAGTAAAGCATCAGAATTTTCTTTTTCCAAACTACGGTTTGGATGTTGAAGAATAGCCTTCCGTGACTTTAGACACGCGCCCTTTCCCGTCGAAATCAGAACAAGTAATCGGGTAACTAGCGGTTCTATAATTCATAATAAATTTAATGTAAATCATTACCTAAACAAATATTATCACCCGGCTATTCAACCAATGATTGTTCAATTAATTAAATCTAAATTACAATAAATAAAGAAGTTGATAGAAAATGAGGAAAAATTACCACTCACAACAAATGAACGTTATTCTATCCTGACTGGATAGATCACACACAACAGGAGGAACAAATCAATATGGCTACCGCCAAGAACAAGTGTCAAGTAAAACAACGCAGATGCAGTTCAGGAAGAAACACAAACTTAGTGAATGCGTAATAAAAACAAAAGCTATAACAAAAATACAAATATTAACAATTCAAATGTAATCAAAATGCAACAATGTATAACTAATGTGACCAATAGGAATAAAGTACAAGTATATACATGGAGGGATTTTCACCAACACACAAAACCCTCAAAATGGATCTTACACCGGCCACCAAAATCCCTCCATACCACACAAGCTACCTTGATGCCTACGGTCATGGTTCATTATATAACATATCATACCATAGGAACGAGTAGGACTTACAACAGTACGCCTACTCGACCTAACTACATTATTAACAACAAAGACTAATCCAAAGCTTCAAGGAGACCTGCTTCACCTGTTCTCTGGTGATCAACAATAACAGTCGTGATATAGACCTAATCACTATTCCCCAAACTCCACCCATGCTGTTGGATGAGCGCCTCGCTGACAATTCAATGTTTATCTTCTGATTCGACTGCTGCACAAACTTGCTTAACTCAGAAACTGTCACCACGAAGCTTGACGCACTGTCACTGTAAATCTCCGGAGGTTTCCTTCTTCTTCCAATAAAACGTAATAGAGCCATTAAAAATGAATCAGTAATCAAATTACACATCATTTCAATATGTA